ATGGGCATGGGCATGGGCATGGGCATGGGCATGGGCCGCTTGCTAATTCATTTCGTTTCATTAATTAATTATTTAATTCATGGCAATTAAACGGCAACTAAATACACTGTCCTCTTCTTTGTGGTCTAATTAATTAATAAATAATGCGGCATTAGGGCTGTGGCCTGTGGGCTTGGGGAAATTGCAATTAAACTAGAAGGTAAATTGTTGGCTAGCTTTTGCATCTGATGGTTCTGCTTTCTGTTGCAATATATATGTACATATATATAGAGCATCGAGTGTGTGTGTGTGTGTGTGTGTGTGGTAGATACATTGCTTTGGTTGAGACACACGCACATACATACATATATTCATTTGATCTGCTTTTTTCTTGGCTTTGTTTTGGGTTAACATTTTGCTTTTGTTTCTTCTGCGTGTGGTGTGAGCATAAACAACAATTTGTCTAAATAATAGTTATTAATTAGTTATAGATAATCGCATGTACTGTCTTTGTTGTATGTCTTTAGTGGAGTGGATTTGTTCATTTATACATTTAACAGGAGAGAGAGAGCGAGGGTAAGGCTAGCATTTCTGATGACACTTGCAGATGAATGTTGTTGTGGAATACATCGAGTTAGGGTAGTTAGCTATGTATAAACCTCTAAGCAGTCCATCCATATGGTGTATATGTATATATTATGAGACTTGTATATAGCGGGGTACACGGTATGCAATATATCTTGAATAATTATACGATTATATATGCATGTATATGGATCGCGCCTTCTTTCTACACTGTTATTCAATTCAGAGATAGTTCTTTTGTGGGGCGGGGAGTTGGGATTTAACGCAGCTATATATATATATATGTATATTTATATGTATATATGCACTAGTCTATGTATTTATAAATATATATATATAATGTATATATGTCCTATGTATAGGTATGAATATATATTAACATTTTGTTCAGACTTAAAAATGGAGCTTACGGCGGCTGGCTGGCTGGCGCGTGTCTATCTGTGTGTGTGTGTGTGTGTGTTGTGTGTGTGTGTGTCTCTTGATATTTGGGATGCTTATTCTTCACGGAATTATAAAGTATTATTTAACATTATTATTGTTGGTTTTTGCGAGTTGGAAACCTTCTCGCTAAGCGACTGACTGTCTATGGAACTATTTTTGTTTTTCTTTTATTTTTTTCGCTATTTTTTTAAGGCAAATCGCACAAGTCATTGGGGGACATCGAAACATCGCAACATCGCAACATCGAAATCTATATTAAGTAACAACCTCGATGACTACGACTAGCTTACAGATATCAAACAGATAATACCCTGCCGCGGGTAGAGGTTTGCTTTCGAAATTGCTTGAGGTACAGCTGGAGGCTATGGCCATCCCGCTCGCTTTTGTGTCTGCCTCTCATAGGCGGTACTCGTAGTGGGCAGAGCGGGAGCGTCGTGCACCCGAGTACCAGCGATAGGGAACACGTTCCTGGTGCAGAGACAGTCCGACGCTGCCAGCCGCTGACGCACTGCTCAAGCCTCCGTTTCCGTTTCCATTTCCATTTCCGCTTCCGATGTCCGCTCCCGGACTGCGCGCCAACTGCAGCGTTAGCGCCAGTCGCGCCTGCTAGGAGGATGTCGAGGGTGATGGTGTGCTGCCACTGGAAGCCTGACGATGTCGCCGATGATGATGATGATGATGCTGCTGTGGCTGCGTTTGCTGCTGCATGGCCGGTGCCGTCATGCGGCGTACCAGAGCATGCGCCGGCAATGGCAAGGCATTCGCATCCAGATACGCCTCAGGACTGAAGCGCACACGACTGTGCTGCGAGCCGATGGACCCCTCCTTGGCGCTCAGGTAGGAGCTGTCGTCGCTGGTCAACGAGTCGGGGGGCGTGGGATTCGTGGGCGTGCCCTGCTGCGACGATATGGAACCATTCAGCGGTGTGCCCTTGCTGCTGCTGCTGTTGTTGTACTTCTTCAGCGAGCTGCGCAGTTTGGCCTGGCTGCTGCTGAGGACGCCGCTGGTCGGCGGCACCACCATCGGCTGCTGGTAGGTGAGGGTGAGGGCGTGCTGCTCAAAGGGCAGGCTGGCGGGTCGCGCCACCGACGCATACTTGCTCTTTGTCATCGGCAAGGGGCTGTGTATGAGGCGATTGAGCAGCTTCGGTGAGCCGGCGTACAGCTCCTGCTTGGTGGGTGGCGGCAGCGACAGCGGCGTCACCTGCTCTCTGTCCCGCTCATAGTCCACATTCAGATTGAGATTGTTGTAGTCGTAGAGCAGCTCCTCGTGCTCCAGCAGCACGTTCGAGTTGCTGGACACGGTCGAAGGCGTCCGCCGATGGCCACCGGCACTCACACCCATCTGTGGGACACGCGGCGGCGGCGTTCGTGTCTGCGCCTGCAGCGGCAAGGATGTGGGTGCTTGAACGGGCACTGCCACCGGCACGGGCACTGGTACGGGCACGGCAACGGGCATTGGCACTGGCACCACTGGCGCCTCGTACTGGTAGTCGTAGTAGTCGGGCAGCCGATGGTTGTAGTCGTAGGAGTAATCCGGATACGATTTGCAATCCCGCTCATAGCTGTAGTTCAGCTCAGGCCGATACGGGAAGTAGTTCGAACCTAAAAGGAACACAGACTGTCGTCTTTAAATGTGGAGAACAGACAGACTGGGCTGGCCACTCACCAAAGTAACCATTGCGGTAGTTGCCGGCACCATCGTTGGAGTAGCTCGGCCCGTTCCTCAGGTAATCGGCAGGCGCGTAGAGCGGCGGAGGTCCAATGCCGCCGCCCACCCGGAACTCCTCGAAGGCCCCGTCCGTGTTGCCGAAGCTGCTGTTGCTCAGCTTTCGTCGGGGCGAGGGCGTCGGCGGTTGGGAGCCCGCATAGAGAGCGGTTATAGCAGCGGTTTGTACTGGTTGCGGTTGTACAGCAGCCACCGCTGCTGCGAGTGGTGCCGCCTGGTGGTGGTGCTGCTGTTGCTGTTGCTGGTGGTGCATCTGGTGTTGCGGCGTGCGCTGCACTGGAGTGTAATACGGCTGACTGCCACCGATGCGACGGGCCAGGGATGTGGGCTGTGACGTGCTGACGCCCCCTTCCAGGCTGCCATATCTGTTGGTCATAAATACTTTTAGTTTTGCTTTCGATGAGGGGATTATCCCAGGCATATACTCACCTTGCGTGTCCTGCCGCCAGCTTGCGGGGCGTCTCCTGTGACTCCTTCTCTTTGAGCTGCAGCTGCAGCTGCTGGTCCTCCTCGTGCTCCGTCAGTGGCTTCTCCTCAGCCGAAAGTGCCAGAGCAGCCGCTGCCTTGGGGGCCGCCTTCAGGGCCGGCAGCTCGCTGAGCAGCGTGGGATGCACGGGCGACACATTGGACATGCGCACATCGTAGCCGGCCGCCACGCCGGCCAGCAGCGACGCCATGTTGTACAGCAGCAGCTCGATCACCGAGAGCTTCGGCTTCCGGGCAGAGTCGCCTGCGTAGAGGGTGGGCAGTGGCACATTGCTGGTGAAGCGGCTGAGCAGGTATGGCGACGGCGACATGATCGGCATGTTCGTGGTCACGCCCGGGCGCAAGTTATCCATTTTGTTGTTGCTCTGGTATCCTGGTGGTGTGGCAGTGCGTCAGATCACATTCCAGACAAAATCCAGCAGGCAGCGTTGACAAGACAGTGTTGAGTAACGTGAGGCATTTTCAGAAGGCTCAGAAAAGAATTGTTTATGGTGGTGTGGGTAGGGGGTACAGGACAAAGGACAAAGGACACAGGTCACCGCAGGCAATACCAATAGCAATAACCACCGCATTTACCATACACCATAGTTCATTCCCCAAGTGTCCCTCTGTCTATGTGGAGTGGCAGGGTCGGTGTTCTCGGCTCTGGGTCTACCGGGGGTTATGTTTCGACAGCTAATACGACAATCAAAACTTGTCTTTGGTTTCTTTTTAGTTTGTTTTATTTTCGGATTTCCACTTTGGGTTCTTATGGGGGGGTGGGAGCGTTTTGTTTTGGGTTAGGCCCCTGCGGTCTGTGGCGGGCCCTGCCCCAATGGAAAATACATTCATTTACAAATTACATTGAAATCAAATCGAAATTTTAACGTAAAACGAACAAACTTGGTAAAAATATACAATCTAACAAAAAACTGTTTATTAAAAAATAATACACAAAATTATCAATTTTTCTTTCTTCATTTTTGATCACAGTTTTTTTTTAATATTTTCTCTTTTTTTTTTTTAAATTATAAATAAATGAAAGACTCGAACCGATTGTAAAAATAAAACTGTGCTCAAAATACTAAATCGAATTAAATAAATTGAATTTCAATTAAATTCCTTCTGTGCTCCACACAAATTATAGAATCCTCATTCACTTTCTTTTGTAACTGCGCGTAAGGGGTTTTGGGTTTGTTTTTTAATTTTCAAATTAATTTCTTTATTCTGGCTCTAATAATGATCCAATCCGATCCCAATTCAGTTATCCTATAGATATAGTCCTTCTCTACGGAAAGGCGTTTGAAATACATTGTATCAGTTCAAGCATACAACCATCTGGATGCAAAATTTGGTGGCTCCAGCTCTTATAGTCTCCGAGATCCAGACGCTTAACTAGACAGACAGACAGACATGGCTATATCGACTCGGCTATTGATGCTGATCAAGAATATATGGGGTCGGAAACGTCTCCTTCTGTGTGTTACATACATCCACTTTGTGCACAAATACAATATTCCCTATTTACTCTTCGAGTAAGAAACACCTTAATGCTGAAAAAGATTCTCAAATGTGGAGCACAGCGGAATAAAATCTTATTCTTTGAATTTTTGAAAAATAACTCTAGCAAAGTTACAAAGAAAAAAGCAAAATACAAAATGAACAAAAAAAATATTCACTCTGCTTCTCGTACGACTAAAACTTAGTTCAACTAAGATGTGTGTAATGTATGGTAGGGCATGTATGCATCGGTATAAATATAGTTGTTGTATAGGGGTATAGTATAGTATAGTATAGGGTTGCCTTAAGGTTAATTCAAGTCGTCAAACATTTATAAATATTGATTTAGCTTGAAATAATTTGCCATCGTCCCATGCATCTTAATGGGATGTGTTAGTATCCTACGTCCCCCAATAACGCTTTAATGGCAAAAAAATCATCCACTTGATGGTCCCTCCTTGAAAGTTTTCGTCCTTGCTACAGTCGTTTCCTTTAAACATCTACCTACGTCTGTCATCTTCCTTATTCTGCTGCTTTCAAATACCCTTCAATGGTGAATCCTTCAAAGTTCTGATATTTCCAATGAGCGATTCACCTTCGTCTTTCAGTGGTCAATCCATGAACTTTTTCCTCTAATACCTCATACAAATCACTGGACTAATTACGAACCGTTTGGTCTCCTCCATCTCTGATCTGGCCGAATATTGCTTCGATTTGCTTTCGTTAGTAACCGATTCGTGGGCCTTTAGTTGGCAGTTGATGTCTTCCCTTCATAATGCGAAGCAGCACTTAATGGGAGAAGGTTCCTGCTAGATCTATCTATCTATCTGTCGCCCGTCTTTCGGATCAATCGGACGATGCAATCGGATATGTGATCGGGGTTCTTTTTTTTCGGGTTCTGGCTTATTTTAGGGTTTTAATATAAAACAATGAGCAATTGATGCGTTTTGTGTGCGGCTGTGTCCAAGTGTTTCGTGTGTGGGTGAGCATGGATGTGCACCAGGCAGCGAGGTTAATCGGGATCCAGAGATCCAACTTCAACTCTAACACCAACACCAACACACCTAGATCACCTATCATCTCTCTCATCCGCATCAGCAGCGTTCCAACTGCTCACAGGATTGCGTCTGGGGCTTCTTACTCTTGCGCTTGAGGGTGCGACTGGTGCCGCCGCCGCCTCGGGCCATCAGCGCCAGATCGGCAGCCTCGTAGGGATCGATGGCACTGAACTCGGTGCTACCCATGTGAGGGCCCCTGCCCATGGAATGCTCCGACAGCTTGCTGTACTTCTTCTTCGAGCGCGAAAAGATATTCATCAAGGAGCGTATTTTGTTAGAGCTGGAGGAATGATGGTTATGGTGGCCAGATTTCTGCGGCTCGGCGGTCGTCTCAACGGACTTGGATTTGGCTATGTGCTTGGGCCGCTGCTTCTTTTGGTTCTTGCTGTGCTGGCGCTGTTCCTCCTCCAGCAGATGCTGCTTCATCTTGATCACATCCGGATGGGGCTGGACGTCCAGCATGCGTCGTGTGGCCAGTATGGAGTTCTCCTGCATATTGTAGCCGTTCTGGCTTCCTGTCGCCATAGCCATGGCCTGCTCATGCCTGACGACATCGTTACCATCCCCATGGCCACCCGTCGAGGAGGAGGAGGTGGAGAAGCTGATCGATGCACTGGACGCATAGGGATCGGCTTTGGCAGTGCCCGTGCTAGTGGGTGTTGGTTCCTCGAAGCTGACGCTCTGAAATGTCACCGAGCTCTTGCGCGAAGTGGTCGAGTTCTGGCGCACCGTGCTCGAGGCCGACGACGTGTCCATCGACGTTTCCTCCTGTCCGCGCTCATCGTTATCGTCCACCGCCTCCTCCTCCTCGTCGCTGGAGCTCTCCGGCGGCCGACTGTTGTTTGGCTCCTTGAAGAAGCAATGCCGCGGGAACTGTGATCCAGAGGCATTCCGCTGAAAGCGTCCTCCCCCGCCCTCGAAGGCCTCCTCCGCATCTTCGTAGTCCAGGCCCAAGGGATCCGCCATGGTCGTGGTCAGCGGTGTGCTGCAGTTGTACATGGTGAGATCTCCGCTCGACTTGGAGTTTACCCGCTCACTGCTGGCGTTGATTTTCTTCACCACTTCGCGGTAGAAGGCCCGATCGTAGGTATTATTCTCGCCCCTCGCCTCCAGCGGCAGGGCCAGGCTAGTGGTGGCCGCCTGCGGGTGGCTGCTGTCCAGTGAATGCTTCTTCCGGCCCACCGCCGGGCTGTTACCGAGGCTGCCACCGAAACGTATCAGACTCACGCCCGAGCCGATGGCTGCTGCTCCACTGTTGCTGTTGGCACCAGCGGACCCCGAGTTACCGGACTTGAGGAAATGAAAACAGCCCGTGGTGGGTGTCACCGTGTCCGTCTCGGAGCTGTCATCAGATACCGGAAACAGCGGCGTGCTAGGCAGCTGATACGCCGTTGCCGCACTGTCCAGTCCGCACTCTTGACTCCTGGCTCGATGGTAAAATTTGGCTGATGATTTGCTTTGGCTGTGGTTGCTGTTGCTCTGGTTGGTGTGGCTGCTGTTGTTGCGGATCTGGTTGTGGCTGCAGTTGGTGGTGGTGTTGATGTTGGTGTTGGAGTGGGGCAATGGGGCGTTCGAGTGAATGATGATGGATGATGATGCAGATGAGAATGCGCTCGAGGATGTGGGCAGCATTATCGGATTAGTTTTACTCTGGTTACAGCTACTACTATTATTATTATTATTACTATTATTATTGTTGCTATTGCTATTGTTAATCATTTGTTGTTGTTGTTGTTGTTGGTTGCTCTTATTGTTGTTGCTGTTGTTGTTGGCGGAGTTAAAGTTGTTGTTGTTGTTGATGTTGTTGTTGGTGGTGGTGGTGAAGGTTGTGGTGGAGATGTTGTTGTGGTTGGGGCGCGTTAGAAAATATGGCAATGGTATACCTGTGGCCCTGCCAGCCGCCTCGCCACCATAAAAGGACGACGTGGTCGCAGCACCAGCACCAGCCACAGCCACAGTCATGGCGATGGCCATATTATGCCCGGCCAGCTGCTGCTGCTGCTGCTGGGGCGGTGGCGTCGACGATGCCGAGGCCGATGACGGATGATGCATGGCCTGGCCCGTACCCTGCTGACCCGGATGCTTGCTTTTGTCCAGATTGGGTGCACTCTTGCTGAACGATGAGTGGGTAGAGGTCTGTGCTGGCCACTCCGGCTGGCCGCCGCCCAGCTGCGATGGCAGCAGCGAGCGCTCCCTCTGGTGCATCGTCGATGGTCCCCAAGTCTTGCCCTTATGCCCATCAGTGACTGGCCCATTCGCACAACAGAGATTTTGTAACCATTTGTAACCAAAACATAAAACAATGTAAATAAAAAATCAAATTAAAATAAATATCAAATCAATCAATCGGTATTAAATACAAAAAATGCATGCAAAAAGCATAAAAATTCAAATATAAGAAACGATTACGGCCTACATTTCTGCGCCGTGAGTGTTCCCTCGACCAGTGTATAGGTCTAATCTAATCTCTAAGTATAAAGACCTAAGCAGGTGCGTTTTAAAACCTTAAGCACAAACAGAACACGAATACCAATTGGAAAATGGAACAGCATTACTTCAATTCATTTGCATGTATTTTATGAGTGAAACTAGTAACTAATATCTCGCCTAAGCTCCTTTCGCGCTCTATCTGACTCGAACTCTTGTATTAGTCGATTAAAAACAGCAGCAAGCTGAAAATGCTGAACTCTTTTAGACTGAATCCCTGAATCCCACTACTGGTTAACGAACGAACAAAGTTTCCAAGGCTTTAGTTAGCTTTGAGGATAATCTACTTTAAATCTCTAAATGGTTTAATGGCCATCTGCTAGTCCTCTTGGCTGGGCTTATGATAATGAAGCGCGCTTTAGACTCACTTGAGTCATCAAAAACAATGAAAATGAGATCTCATAATCATTTAATCGGAATATAGAACATACGTAGACGTGTGTATGTGTATAAAAGTCGATAGACTGTTGGAATACTCACGTGCAACGAGTCGTAATCCGGAGAAGGATGGTGAGCCAGGCGGCTCTGCCTTGTCGCGCACGGCCGTGATGGTGTGCCGAAATTCCGTGGGCAAAGATATCTGCAGCGGCTTGTTCTGCTATAAATATATTGGGAATGGCATTCGCATTAGCAATTAGATCTCTTCAAAGTTTGACTTGTGTGTTACCTTTTTACCCTTTTTGGGCTTTCGTTTTGGTACTGGCTGCATCATCACCAACTCCCGTCCAATCAGCTCTATCTCTCGCTCCCGCAGATTTTGTTCCCGTATCTTGAGGAGGGTCGCCTTCTCGCGCTGCTCGTTCTGCACCTGCAGCAGCTGCTCCTCCTTGTTGCGCAGTTCCTAGACGGGGGTAGTTATACGGGGCATAAATTCAGTGTGGGGATATCAAGATCATGCAGAAAACAGAAATGCGAAAACTAAAAACGAAACTAAGAACCATGCAGCAGTTGGCTTGAGGTGGTTGTTGTGGGTGGAATATTGTGCGAGCGTTGATCGACCAATTGTGGAAAACGAATCGGGAAACAGCCAAAATAAGAACAAGTCAAACAACGGAACAGAAAACGCAAGAGAGAGACAGAGAGAGTGAGAGCAACCTCTTACCTCTTCGATGGTTTGGAAACGCTTTACATGGTTTTTGAGGGATAATTTCGTTTGGTTTATGTTTTTTTTTGTTAAGAAGAAAAAGTATAAACCAAATGATTAGAATGTCATCAGAGATAATAAAAAGATTATAGGAGTGGCAGGTGGGAGAGGAATATGAAGATAACTCAAGAGAGAGACAGAGAGAGAATAAGAGAGCACACAAAAAGATCTGATGGTGTTCCCCTTTGTGGAATGGGAGAGAGATGTCCCCAAAGGTTGCTGATTTGCTCGTTGGGCAAATACCTTTTCTTTTTCGCGCAAATCGTGCAGGACCTCGGCTATCTCCTTCTTCCAGCACTCCTGCATATAGTGAAAGGACTCCTGCGGCGTCAGCGTGAACTTGGAGCGGGCAATGCTCTCCAGTTGCTTGAGTATTTCCTTGAAGCCGGGTCGTTTGTGCGGATCCGTTTGCCAGCAGCCTGAAATACAACAGTTGCGATGGTTAAAATAATCAATCACAAATATCTGCATGGATGTGTGGATGCGGAAGACTTACTCTTCATTAGAGAACCCCAGGTTTCGGGGCATGTTTTTGGTATGGGCAATGTCAGGGTATTGACAGCCACGCCATACGCCACGGACAATGGATCAAAGCCCTTGTACGGCGTCTCGCCAGTTATTAGCTCCCACAGCAGCACGCCATAACTCCAAACATCCGAGGATCTGCGTAGAGAGACAGCGTCAGAGATAGACGAGCTTTTTTTTAGACTTTTCGTAGGAAACTCACTTGGAGTACGTGCTGACACTGATCACCTCGGGCGGCATCCAGGCATAGGTGCCCGCAGCGCTCATCCTCTGCGTGTTGTACATTTCGCGGGCGAGTCCAAAGTCCGTGATCTTAAGCGTCTTCTGCTGCAGATGGTTGTCCTCGATGGCCTCGTAGATGAGGACATTGGAGGACTTGAGGTCGCGGTGTATAATAGACATGGGTGCCTCGTTGTGCAGATAGTTCATGCCTCGGGCAATTTGTATGGCCCAGTTGACCAGAACATCTGGCGGTATCTTGCCGGCCAGAATGCGATTGAGGCTGCCGCCGCGGGCATACTCCATCACAAGGCAGAGCTTCGTCTTGAGGCAGACGCCGCGCAGGGCCGCAATATTCTCGTGCTTGAGGGCCCAGAAGAGTTTCGCTTCCTGGAGTACATTGTCGCGCATCCGTTGCATATCATCGTCTCCCGTTTGGTGGGCGATCTTGATGGCCACCTCCTCGCCATCGTAGTATCCGCGATGCACCTTGCAGAAGCCACCAGAGCCGATCACTTCCTTGATGTCCATCTCCTCGTACTCAATCTCGTGCGGCTGGATGTCGCCAATGGCCGATGGCACGTTCAGCTGCAGTGGATCTTCGTCCGTGACAAAGTCTCGCGGAAATACACCGACCTGTGGGTGGAGTAACAGCCAGTAAGTGGTGCAGTCTTGCAGTCTCAATTACACCCTTTCCCTCTTGGTGGTGCCACTACTCACCTTGTCACCAATCTTGCCCGTCCACCAGCCCACATCGCCGGACACTTCGCTGTCCGTGGAGAGGACGACCACAATTTGGCCGCGGCGCAGCGTCAGCTCATCTTCGCCCTGGGCATCGTAGTCGTACAGGGCTGTCCAGAGGCTGCCGTCACCCACCTGAGCATCGGCATCGTCCACAACATTGTCTGGACTCGGCTGGTGCTGGTGGTTCTGCTGCTTTTGGCTCTGCTCCTCGCTGATGGGGAGCATGGCTGCTCCTGCTACCGGGATTGCCGTTCCTTATCGACTGTGCTGTGGCCGCATCAAAGGCTCACACTCGGCGACATAGGATCGCGATAGCGTCCGGCCCGCGCACCGATATCCACGCTGCCGTCTCGAGCTGTCTTTGTGTCGAGCGTCGCGTTGCGTTGCGCTTTTCTGCGAATTCTGCGAGATAAACACCAATGGAAGAAAAAGGGACTTAAAAAAGCATTAACTGGAAGGAGGAAAGCGGTGCGGTGCGTTGTGATGGTTCGATGCGACATCCACCCACCACTGCCCTGCCGCCTTTGCGGGTTCGGGTGCAGCGCGCCTTTTTTCCACTCACCCAGATCTAGAAAGAGAGATTGCCTTGCACTCCTTTTTTGAGGCGGCCGCTTTTGTAGTTGTTGCTGCTGCACTGATGCCACCGCTGCCGTCCCTGCACTGCTCCACTGTTCCTCGCCCGTGTCACCCTCTACGTCCAACCGTCTGACCGACCAAGTGACCGACCGACCGACTGCACACAAGCAGAGGCACGCACGAAACAATCAGACAACACGATACAAAACACACACACACGCACGCACACAACACACCATTGTCGAGATGTCGTTGTCCCGATGTCTTTTCGTTACGTTTGTTACGTCGCTTTGGGCACTGTGGCTGCAACGGGCTGGATTCAATTAGACCTGGCTTAATCAATTGCAATCGCTATGCATTAGCAATGTATTGATTTTTGTTTCCGCATATGTTTTTAAAACATAAAAAAACCAGAGTTGTGCAGTTTAGGGATGGGTATCGATGCCAATATCGATATTGTATCGATACACGAATGTGATATTATTGTTCGTTTTCCATTACACTTAAACTGAAGATTGAGTGAGACCAGCAACAAAAATCTAATGGGAAGAGCATGCAGTGAGAGTTAGAGGTAGATTTAGTATTTTTATAGAATTTTTGGCAGTGCAACAGCAGAATAACGAAGCAATCACCTGAAATTTTAATTTACGGCTTATGAATCAATAAACCATCAGGCGTAACACAAATGTATCGATGAGTTTCGGTCACACTTTACTAGTAATAAGAGTAGTGGAGTGGCACCATAGCGATGACCGTCTACGATGACGATCAGGGGCTATCGACTCCCTCCGAAAATACGCCACGGCGTGCTCGGAATCAACGTAAATATGAGCAGCGCCAGACTTTCAAATGCATAGAAACGGACAGGTTTCAGACTCGTTTGCTTGTATTTAGTGAATATTCGTATTAATATTATCTAATACGTTGTAGTATTAATAACATCTGCTGTTGATGCTGCATCTCTCTTTTATTTGTTATTTGATTAATCTCCTTGGACTCTGCGCATGTTTCGTGCAGGGCAGTGGGCCGGGGTGTGAACATAGTTTCTGCGGCGGCCTCTGATGCTGCCTCGCCGCTTCCCGCTGTGTATCCTGGCAGCGCCGCACACTCTCTTGCTGTTGTCGCTCTTGCTCTGCTTCCGCTGCTACTCTCTCTGGGACACTCCGTCGGCCGCTCACAATTCGCCCCTGTGTGGGCGTACTGTCTTTTGGGCCATGCCAGGCCATGTGTTATGCGTGGCAGCCAAAGGGTATACTTGGGCAAGGTAAGGTCATTTCAGTTTCAGTGGCTGCAGTTGCCAGAGAAACACCAGATGGCTAGACGGACCGGAAGGGAATGGCTGGAAAACGACCCATTCTAATCGGAGAGAAATAGGACCATACCTTGCACAGTTGTAGACTGTTCCCACCCACCCATTTGGAGCTGCGGCTCTGCTGTAATCGGCTCAGTTCTGCTCGGCCTGGTTCGGCCTGTGCCGACTCGGCTTTTGCTCTGCCCGGCTGGTCCATCGGCGGCCTTGCACAGTAGCATCTGATGGACTTTTCTCTGCTCAAACATGTGTACCCACATATATATATTTACAAACAAGATATAAATTATATGATATTTTAAGTGTTCTTTTATTAGAATTTAATTTAAATTGCATAAGTTCTGCAGCCTTTTATTCGGTAAGTTTTCATTCCTATATTTCGATGTTTACTGACAGGACTTAAAAAAAGTGTCGCTACTAAGTGCTCGTTCACGCCCACTGTACATCAGCATTAGCATCATCGTACGCGCCGCTACCATCGCTTTCGGCTGCTGCGGCATCGGCAGCTCAGTCAGATGTCCTGAAACCAGAGCCGGAGTCAGCGCCAGCCAGATCCAGAGCCATAGCGATAGCCGGACTCGTACCCAGAGCCCCACACAGAGCCCAGTGCCATTGCACGGGGCTACGGCAACGGCTGCTGCTCGCACGACACCGCCAAAAAGGCAAAAGTCCAACACGAGCGGTTCCGACCCCGAACGAGCGCAGCATCTCCTGAAAAACTGGAATACAAATGAATAGGAAAACGGCTCGGCTCGGCTCGGCTCGGTTCAGTTACGCGCAAGATTTCAACACAAATCGTAGCACATTTCACGGCGGCAGACGCGGCGTGCGCAGCGCACGGGCAGATTGCACGTAAGGAAACCAGAACAGAACAGAATGGACCCAACAGTATCGAGATTCGGCACAGGAAAAAGCAAGAAAACTGAACTCAAACACACACAAAAACTGCTCTTCAATGCCCGGGCCCATGGCAGAAGAAGTTGAAAATGTTTTGTTTTTTTTTTTAAATAAATAAATATGGATAACAATTCCGGATCTGATGGTAGTTTACAGATTTCACTAGGGTTTCCCGGAGCCAGAGCCAGAGCCGTCACCGTTGCCGTCGCCGTCGCCGTCGCCGTGGCCGTAGTAGACTCGGTCGTTTGCCAAAATTTCTCAACATTTTTTTTCCGTGCTGCTCGCCGCGTGCGCGCTCCTCTGTGTGTGTGTATGTGTGTGTGTGTCCGTTGTGTGTGCGTATGAGTGTGTTGGAGTGTGCGTCTCCGTGCGTGTCTGTGGGTGTCTGTGCGAGTGTGTTGGCCCTTCTTACACATATATCCTTTTTTTTTTGAATTTTTTTTCCAAAAAGCCAAGGCAGAAAAATGTAAAAACACAGCCGCCCCACCTTCAGGACAGTCTCCAAAGCGCAACAAAAAAAATGAAATATAGCCAATGAAATAAATAATAAATTGTAGCTTAAGCTTTCGACCTTAAAACAAAACGAAACGCACAAAAAAACAAGCCAAATCAAATTGAATTAAGTAATTGTTTAAACATTAAAATAGAGGAAGAAATCACAAGGAATTGGATAAAGCAACGTAAGGAAATTCCCCGTACACACTATATTGATTCATTCTCATTCGATCATTCATAATAAATAGCACGCTAAGATGTTGGATGTATTCATACTCGTAGTTGTAGTTCTTGTTGGATTCATTTATGTGCTAGATTCTTTTATGAATAACATGCAAATGGTTTGTTTTCTGTGCTGAATTCCATCTTAAATTGTACTCGCATCATACAAATTATTTATTCGGTTTCCTGTGCGAGGATATTCATAGTCATATTCTTGGGTTATTTATTGAAGGTGTTTCATCTTGGGTTCGACATACTTGTTTTGTTTTGGGGCTGGCAATTGTCACATTTTGTAAAGTTCTTTGGGATGGTATTGATTTGCTTTGCGGGGAGTATCTTGGGGTTTCCATTGGTTTGGTTGGAAGTTTGGCTTGAAATTGTTTAGAGTTTTATTGGATTTCCATTGGTTCGTTTGGATGTTTCAATTAGGAAAGCAAATAGAATCTTTTATTTAATCTATTTTACTGCCTTTCAATAGTTTCCTTGACACTATTTCCTCCTGTAGTTTCTGTTGTTGCTGCCACAAATAAAAACAAAAACAAAAAAGAAATCCAAAATAAATGAAGGCAGACCAATACACACACACACGTATATAGACACATACACATGCATATATGTACACACATTCACATGCATATATGTACATACATACATATGTATGTGTATGTGTATGTGTATAGACATAAATCCATGTAAAGCTGTTGCCTGGCCTCTAAAATGGCTGCCGTTTGCCTTTGCCGTTGCCGTTGCCGTTGCCGTTGCCTCTCTGCCGGTCCTGCTGCTGAATTTGCTGCTTTTTGCTTCTGCTGCTGGTAGCTGCTCTGCTGGCGCAGGCGTTGCCGTTGGCAGCGTGGTAAGCAGCGCGCAAGAAGTTCAGGTTATGTCTGCGCCGCCAAGTGTGCTTCAAGGGGCCTGAGATTAGGGTAAGGGAAGGGATGGGATGCTGCTGCTGCCCTTGGCACTGCTCTGCTTCTGCTTTTACTCTTCTTTGTTGTCGCCCACTTTCAATGGGCGTGCCGACTGCAGCATCCGTTTCGTTTCGCAGCTCTTCCTCCTCTGCTTCCATTTTCTGGGACGGTGTTGTAGAGGTGGGTAGGGTAGGTGGTGTGCTGCTGCTGCTGCTGCTGCTTCTCTAGATGACCTAGCCCTATTTTTGGCCATTGCCGAGTCTCTTCTGCTGCCATGGGTACGATGTGGCTGCGCAGCTGGCAGCACATTTTGTTGTATTCAACTTTCACAGCCCCAGCCTCAGTTGCTGCTCAAGCTTCAACTTCATGGAAGAGACAAAACACAGCTGGAATAAGGGCTAAGTAGAATGTCCAGAAGAAGAAGCTACTGCAGAAGAGCAAACAAGAAAGCGAGCAAACGAATAACAGTGAAGAGTGACAGAGAGCGAAAGCACAGCGAAAATGACAATAAAAAAGTTGCAGAAGAACAAGAAGGAGCAGATGAAGAATTGCATAAACTGAAGGTCTTTGGAAAGAGTTAACAATTCCGAGATGACAGCCACACGATATCCAATATGAGAACGATAGGATCTGTGATGTTGTTGTTGGTTTGTTTTTTTTTTGCGCTCCTGTGAGGAGCAGAATGTCAGGAAAGCATTTGATCGAAGATGAAGATGAAGTATTATTAAAGAAACAGCAAATAATTGGGAATGGCATCGCTGTCCAGTCTTGGCAATGGGAGGCAAAACCTTGATAGCGGACGATTAATCAAAGATTCATCATTCAACTTCCTGGCATACTTAGTTTCACATTCTATTTTGTAGAATCCTTTAAAAATCATACTTAGATTGTATATTTATCCCGAGCTTAATTAATTCGTACCCATTTTAATTGTTCCGAACCATTTGTGCTTTTCAGAACACCGAAAGCCAAACACCAATACAAAAATATAGCTTAAAGGAAACCCAAAACTGTTCCAAACCACCACCAAAGACAGAGTTCGTACTCGATTTTGAGATATAAGTTGAGACATAATAACGGATTTAACACGAGCAGACTCCCACATAGTGACAGCACGTGGTATCGTGTGAGGGAAAAATGCTCTCCAGTGCGTCTCCTCCTACAACATCGACTCCTGCATACGGGAGAAAGCAACAGAAAGAGCTTCAGGAGCAGCAGCATCTGAATCCAAGGGATCATTGATGCCAAGAGCCGGAGTCGGAACAAGTGGAGACAAGTCGTTAGCCCCCGGCTGTGGGTAGAGAGCTCCTGAGCAGCGAGGAAGTGAAATCCGTTGCCTTGGCGCCTCCGCGCTGCGCGATGCAAGGGAACAGTAGCCGATCCACATTAAGCGCACAATCCTCGGGCACACCGTCGGCGTCCACGATATCCTCGTCACAGGGAAAGGTGAGTGTTTCCAGTTCATAGTGGCATTCACATGCCATATGCCCCACCCCATCGCTAGACTAACATCAATTAGGGTTACGACTGGGGCAGAGTGGCAGGGGTTTGGTTTAAATATGGTGTCCGCTCTGCTGGTCTGGCGGCTCATCGTGAGCGAGAGTTTCCAGTTGCGATACCCTTTGGTCTCCATTCTCCATACTCGTTTTGGTTTTCTTTTCTGTCACTGACTTTAGTTTCCGTCTGGAGTTTAAAGCTAAGAAATGCTAGTAATTGCAGCCTGGAAAACGAACAAAGCAGCAATATATTCATGAATGAACGTGAATACGAGTAGAGGGGGTTGTGGCTGCAGTGTGTAATATTACAACTATGGAATCAACAAGTTGTTCCACAATAAAAATGGACATGGATATGTTTTCAGCATTTGAAAATCGAGATAACACCAAAAGGCATTCCATCTGTTAAAAGAGTTGCTTGAAAAAGAGACCACCTTGCCACATTTTGCAACATTCAATGAATGCCATCCATTCGCTGTGTACACGTATTCCCACAAGAAAGAAATTGGCCCCAAAGTGATTCATTCTGGCACAAAATACGCAGTGCCAATTCCCTTTACAATAACTCTGATTAAACGCCAATTAGCTGTTACTTAATGTATTCGGTCCAACTTGTAAATGTCTGCCATCTGGTGGGGTCTTTACAGACCAGCCAGAATGTTCATGGAAATTGAATTTGAAGGACTACAGCTATTTACTCGCACTTCTGTAGTTGCGCATCGTTTCAACTCCGCCCTAAAAGCAGTGGAAAACCCTACATGTAACCTTGTTTATGAGCTGCAATTAAAGCTTATACTTTTGCCTCTCCCTGCCTGTCCTTTGGCCTTTGTCTTTCGCTTTGTCTCGAGAACATTCCCTCAAAAAGATCTCAATTTGATCTCGGCAAAAGATTCCGGCGTATCGGCGTCCCATTGGGGGAAATCGCTTTCAGTCCAAGTGAAATTTTATTTGACAGCTTTCCTTCTCCTTCTGCTTCTCCCTCCCCTTGCTGGGTGTCGGGTGCCTGGCAGCCTGGCAGCCTGGCAGCCCGGAGCACCAGCCCCAGCACCATCACCACCGCCAGTGGGGTGAAGCGGCTGCTGCAGCACATTTCCGCTTTCAATTTGCTTGGGTGTGAGCGTATGCGTATGGGAGCAAGCAAGGGAGGAAGGGAGGAGGTGGAGCAGGCACGACAAGGCAGGCAGCTGGGCACAGACAGGCAGGCGAAGAGGAGAAGATGGAAAGGAACATAAATGTAACTGAGGAACTGCATCCGCTGCTTGTCAATCGTGGGAATGGGAGAATGAGTAGGAGGCCGCCTTGGCTTGATGAATGCAGCGCAGCCTTGTCACTGATGGGGACACCACCCACTCACCCACAAAGCACTCAGCACAACACACTTCTATATATGTATGTATGTAGCTCCTCCCTTGGTCCCTCGCATTCCCTTTTGCCAGCGAACTCTCCCTTGGCGCCTGCCTCCTTCGCTTTCTTTTACATATTTGCATTGCCCATCCGCCGCCGTTGTGTCTTTTATCGTTTTTAATTAAACATTGCCGTTTTGGGCTATTACACACACACAAAACACACACACAAACAAGCATACATATGTACATATTTATTTATGTATGTAGGTGGCTCCTACACATCGTTCCTTTTTGCAACTGATGGGAGTGTTCCTTTGTGCCTCGTTGATTTTGCCTTTGATACCCTCTGCCAGCCGCTTCCTTCAATCACACCTCAATCAAGCCGGCACTTCTGGGAACAGTTGAAAAGGTTCAGCTCTGATAAATTGTAAAAATACCTCAAGTTCTTCCACAGAGAAGATACAGCGAATACATGCGAATAAATGTATATTTCAGCTTAAGAACGCCATTCAACGAGATCTGTAAACAGCATAATTATCCCGCATACGAAGTGATCGATTATCGCGTATCTTAATCTCGTCGAAAGCTTCTGGGTCAAAGTTCTTTCAGAGTGGAGTTTTGACAAGTGGCGCCAACACTTCATGGTAATTTCTCTCTCTGCGTGATACATTTTTATAAGTCTGGAAATGAGTTTTAAATGTTGCAATTTACAGCACTAATATTCCACGGAACACTCCTAGACATAGTCTTGTGTATCCTTCATCGATTAAAGCGTATCTTCTATTCGTTTCATTGGAGGATTGGAATTGTGGCTGGCATTGGAAAGAGCCCTGACACATTTTGAAGTTGTTACTTTCTCTTCAATGTAGAAGGTTCCTTTCATACAGCCACAAAATGTGTCTCTGTGTGTGTAAGTAAGAAAGAAAAAGGAACATTCAAAGACTCTGCATCGTGTGTGTGTGTGTGTGTGTGTGAGGCAGTCGTAAAAAATGATGGGCAAAAATCTCCGTTTGTCATAATTGTCATCGTCCATCAAACAAACATAGTCGCTGAACCAAGGCACACAAACACACACAGTAACGCCCCTTCCCTGCTAGTGCCACGACCTCTCGTACTCTCTTTCGACCCCTCTTTCAGTGCACCCCCGCCCTTCATTTTCATGTAAAGTTGCAATTTCTGTTGGGGCCCCAAAAACTAGGCAACGCTTTTTTTGCGTTCGACTTTTATCAGCTTCTTGCAGTTTTTTATTTGTGTGTCAGGCAGCTGGAGGAGCTGAGGGTGAGTGATGGTGAAGGGAAAATCCAGCGATGGTGGATGGATGGATGGATGGGATACTCGCTGCTGGTTGGTGCGTCTGTAAAGCATTATTCATGAAATGAGCTGTATAACAGTGGATTGTTTTCGCTGGCTTCTTCTGCCTCTTCTGCCGCTGACCCTCTGGAAAAGTTTCTGTTGCAGAATGTTCCCCACTTAGTTTTCCTTTTGCCCACTTCTCTGCTCCCTCTCACCCCACTTGTCGTCACCCCCATTTGCCATTCGACATGAATGTTCCATGTTGAAGGTTGCTGCTTCTGCTACTGCTACTGGTACTGCTACTGGTGGCGCTTCTCCATAAATGTTTAGTGCACTTCGATGAATTTTCTTTCAACATATGTTTCATTTTCTAGAAGTTTTCTTTCGATTTTTCAAAGTCTGTGCTGTTGTTCTTTTGTTCTGCTCTCCCCATAAACGTTTTCCCCTCTACTTCAATGGTTATCTCTCCTCTTGTATATCTCTCGTCGGTCTTGTATGTGCCTCTAATTCTTTGACTTTTTCTTATGGCACAGTGTGCCTGCTTGCCTGGCCTTGAAAAGGTGTTTCGATTTGAATAAATGTTTGCATTTCCAACATTTCCAAGGCAGTATCTTCGATTCCATGTTCCATGTTGTCATGCTCAGCTGTCATATTTGTTAGAACTGGTTTTCTAAAGCATTCCTTAAAGGTTGTTTCCTGCTCTTCTATTCTTCCTTCTTCTTATACTCTTCTTTAAGTTTCTTCATCACTTTTCCTTATTTTTCTCGGAACTTTCTTCTTTTCTTCATTGATTCTGTATTATGTTGTTTGAAAATAGCTGCACAATTCCAGGAAATTTCATTGGCCTTGCAGAAAATTGATTTGTGAAAGTGGTATAAATAATGTTCTGCATTACGCATACGCCGCATGTGCTGCCTGCCGCCTGTCAATTGTCTCCTTTCATGTCTCCCTTTTTCTGTCTTTATTTGGTCGTGAAGGCGTCTGGAATGTACATAAGTCTCTTCATGCCCCACAACCATTCCACTAGCCTTTGCCCCATCATCTGAATCGAAGGTCGGCTGGTGGGGTTGTCTGTCAATAAAAGTTTTTGGTTTTTGTTCACATAGAAAAATTACTATAACTTTTACTTGGTACTGTGATCCTTTATCCATGGTCAATGTGCATGATGTTGTTGTGATAATTGTTGGTGAAGGTTTTGTTTCCCATGTTGGTGTAGGTTTTGGTAAATGATTTGCTGCCTTTATTGGTGTTTTTGAAGTGTCGTAGGTGGTGTTGGTGTAGTTATTACAAAAGCTGTTTTTGTTGTAGAGTACACCAAATGGTGTAGTTGGTGGTGCAGCTATAGTTTTTGCTGTTTTCATGTGATTGGCGCACATAATTATAGGCGACAGAAAAATACCATAGGAAAGCCATAGATTCCCTTCGATTCCCAGGAAATAATTAAAGTTGTTGTTGAAAGAAAGGGCGCCTAAGGTAGATGGACACAAAATGAAGCAATGAAATGTACCCTCGTTTGCATCTTATGGGGAAAACTTGGGGCAAAATTGTACTCGTAATTGGCCCATTGTGTACGGGTACCAAAGCCAGTCTGAAAGCAACGCACATGCGTGTGCGTTTGTGTGTGTTTGCATATGCGCATGTGCTGGACCACTCTATAAAGAAGATTATACCTACTCGACCTACTACGTACTACACGTACGTCCAACTGTCTATCCCAATCCCAAGCATCCTATGCCAACTCCAAGCATCCAAAGATGTGCCATGCGTGGTCTTTGGCTCGTTTGCTTGATTTCTGGTGTGGCTCACAAATTTTCAGCTTCATCTTCGGAACAAAAGCAGCAACAAGGGCGACATTTGTGCGTATCATTTGTGTAACTTTGTTGCATAACCCCCTGTGGCCCATGCCACCACCCCTCAGACCCCACTCCCTTCACTTCCCTACCCACCATCACCCAAGGCCCATCCGAACCTCAACATCATTCATCCCTTTTGCCTCACAGTGCCTTATTAGCCAGTGCCTCTTTCTGTGTGTCTATCCATGTACATGTTTGTTTCTCCGTTTCTCCTCGTTCTCTTTCTCACCCTCTTCTCTGTCTGTGTATGTATGTATGAATGTGTGTGTGTGCATGTGTGTGCATCATTTAAAACAATATCCAAAGATTTGTTTCGCCATTTATATGTCAAAAATGACAAGTCAAGTGTTTTGTTCTTGTTTTCTCGCTTTTCGCTTTTCGCTTTTCCCATTTTTCTTGTCTCTTTCCTCCTTTGCTGTTATCTCTTTTTTCCTTCACTCTCCATCTGCCTCTCTCCCTCTCCCTCTCCCTCTCTCTCTGTCCCACGCGGTGTTTTTTTTTTGTCTCACGTTTTGTGGAAGCTTTGTTCTCGCGCATTGCCTTCCCATCCTTTTGTCCAATTCTTCTTCCCATTTCCTTTTTTTTCTATTTGCTCGTTTCTGGTTTTGTTCCTGGCTTTGTCATTAGCAGTCAAGCGGGAAGGAAAATAACTTTTTCCGGCTCGAATATCACATGCTCTTTGCTTTAAGAAACTGTGTTGGTCAGCAATAAGTGCTGGTCAGCGACGGTAGGTGGCAAGCCAAGGTGTGGCTGTACGGAAGATCACTTACAGCTAAGCTGTGTCGGAAACAAGTGTTGGTTAGCCAGGAACCAGTGTTGTTCAGTGCAGGGCCTAAAGACAGTGCTGATAAGCGTTGCTCAGGGCCTTCTTCCGGAAAAAAAGAATACCTACGAAAGTCTTACAGAATAATATACATACATATGTAGCTATGTATGTAGCTAATAATGAATAATGTATATATGTATAGTCATATGAACACGATTTTGTGCAGTTTTCAGGGCATTTCCAAAGGAAAAAAAAACAGAAAAATAACATAACAAACAAAAAAAGGAAAAACAGAGCATTGAAGGATGGCCAAAGAAAGCATGAAGCCCCGACAAACAGAAAAACTTGTCCCCTGGTCTAGGTCATAATGTGTGCACGTGTGGGTGTGTCTGTGCCTGTGTGTGTGTGTGTGTGTTTGTGTGCATCTACTATGTGTTGGCATGTGTCCTAGAGTCTTGGCCATATGTGTCGTATGTGTGAAATGAGCTTCAAGTACAGCAACAAGAACCACTGACAAGGACGCTCATATGAAAACAAACGCATAATTTAAGCGTAATTGCTGTCATTTTTCATTCGAGTGTGGCAAAAGAGTATCTGGCATGAGGAGGGAATGAAGGGGCGGAGGGGTGTGTTGAAGGGGGCTACTGCCACTGATGTCGCTGTTGCTTTTGCTTTTGCTTTTGCTTTTGCCATTGCTCTGTTTCAAGTGCCCCAGTTTGTCTATGTCGCCATAGTGGCCCTCCGTCAATCCCTTAGACAGTTCATCCCTTCGCTCCCACTCTGCTTACTCTCTCTCTCTCCTCTGAATGCCTCTCATTCTCATCTATTCTCTTGATTTTTGTTCTCATTCATTCCCTAACTTTTGTATGTGAATGTGAGAGTGCCTGCATCCGGCGTTGAAGCGCTGATAATTATGCAGCTTACGTTAGCACTGTCTTCTTTCTTTCGCTTTCCTTTGTTTTAGTACACCACACACTATACCCTGTACCCTGTACCCTGTACCCTGTACAGAGTGTAGTCTCTTCTTATGTCCAGAGTAAAGAGGATTTATTAGCGATCCCTTAGAGTGAATACACATTTCCCTCTTTCAGCGTGGCTTAGCAGGAAAGCCACCTCTCTTTCTTCATTCATGTACGATATCTCTCTCAGCTGAGGTTGGAACTCCAGGGTGTCTGAAGACTCTGTCCCGTAATGATATGGTAGAATTGCCTTCTGGCAGGGGCCCAGTGGCAGTTCATCAATTGGCCCGACTTTCTGCCACATTAATCCCCAACGAGTGAAAAAAAAGAGGTGGCAAATGGGAAAAGCCGAACCAGAATGCGGCGTGAAACATGAGTAGCAGGCGCCTCTACGCTTCGAAAATGTGCTCCGTCTCCCCGTTTCCAACGAGCACTGTCTTCCTGTTCATTTGTGTGCTGGCGCGCTCTTGTAGCCAGGTGCTATGGGGTGCAGGTGCTGGCGCTACTGCAGGTTGAGGTGGAGGTCCAGGACCAGATCTGGCTCTGCTTTGTGTGTCCTTTTTGGCCGCTTGCCAGCTCGACTCGAGTTCACTTCCAGTTGAGTGTTTTCCCCCATCCGTTTTCGCCGTCCCATTGTTGCACTCTCTGGCACTTGCAACAATTGTTGTCCAGCCACGCCTCCGTCTGCCGCACACACACACACACACCTCCCCTGACGGCCATTCACTTTTGCGACCCTCCCCGCATCATGGGGCATAATTTTTGATTTCCGTTGTTTTTGTTTTAGTCACTTTGTCTTGTAATTACGAAACACTCTCGTTTTTTAACCCACTGCTGGCGGATGTCACAAGTTCAAATTATTTACAGAAGGAAAGCCAGGACAGAAGTGGACTAGAGTGAGGATTCCATAATTAATACATATATTAATGTATTTGTTTGCATTTGCTGCAAAAGATACTTGAGCTGTGGAATCGTTCCCTTCAATGGGGAACTGGCATTCCTTTTATATTTTACAACAAGTACGTTGAATACCGAACACACATGTGAGCCGATGTCTAACCAAAGTTCAAAGCATCTTCATTTCGAGTACATTTCTTCGACATCTTTATCAGCTTGAGCTTCACTCAGAAACCCATTGGAGCTCTTAATATTCTCAGCACAAAGTGTGCCATGCTCTTATATTGGACTGTTTACCCATATCCACAGGCGGAAGTAGAACTCCTTTGATGCTAAAAACAGTTTGTCAGTTAACACGAAACGAGTCTTTTAGACGCTTAAATCAGATTCGGGAACGGCGTGTAGTTGTGCCAATGAACATCTCACATTACTCTGTTCGTGTGTCCTTTCGCTTATGGGAAACTCGGACTGAAAGTCTTGACGAATCAAAGAAGTTATCAATCGCAAGAGTATCAAATGAGTCAGGCCCCAAGGAGCCTTATCCACTCGTCAAGCCTTCACTGTACCTCTGTCCTGGCTCTTATCTCTTACTTGTTGGACTTTTGTCTCTGTGTGTGTGGTTATTTTTTGGGCCTGCTTTAAATGGTTTCCGACATGCTTTTTACCAACTTTCGGTCTGAGTTTCGTGGTTTTACTGTGGCTTCCCCTTTGAGTCGCCTTCATTTAATGTTTTTCCTGTGGTGTGTGAGTGTGGCACATCACTTTGCAGCTGATTGAAATTGTTTCGGATGCAACTGCCTGCCGAACTCCTTGCCCTACTGCATGGATCAGTAATCATTCAGATACTTGATGGTCTGTGTGGCTCAAACTAATGCTTGTCCCAAACAATTTTTAAGAGACATCTATGCACAGCCTTCTAAACTTATTCAATAACCAGCTTTATAAGTGAAGTCAACTTTTAAAATAAATATCATATAATTGAAATGTGTGAATTTTGTTCTAGAACTGTGCGGTGGGTGGCATTAAACAATTTAGTGGCCATAAACTCGGAGAACAGAGAACATCTACACTAGGACGACTATCTCACGAGCGTTGGCGGTGTGTGCGGTGGGCGCTGGGCGGTGGGCGGCATACCCTTGGGAGCCACCTGGTGCGGATACAGTAGGAGTTGCTGGTTTCCACCCACCTTGAAATGAGGGGGACCATGCCGCATGAGCATAATTTGTTGTAATTAACATAACGAGCCAACCCAAGCAATAATGGCCAAATACTCCCACACACACACACACAAACACACACACACATACGGGACAGGGGGTGTCATGGTTGGTGGCATGTGGGTGTTGGTGGGTATTTGAGGTTCGGCCTGTGTTGTGTTCGGAGTCCTGCCTTGGCCCTTTATCCTTTTTTTGTAATTAATTTGATTTGTATGCCCTAAACAAAGGGTAACTTTACTATGAAGAAGGCGATGAAGGCATAACCGATCCGAAATTATATTATAATCGCCTATTTATATGATAAGACTGATTCATAGATTGGATCATTGGATACCAATCCAATCTGAAGGTTTTCCTTATGGACAAAACTGTCCTAAAAATATTTTTAGAACTTAAAATACTTACAATTTAGTCGGTTCAAAGATATGCGTTAGTGTACAGCATAGGAACTTCGGCCTCATGGTATGGATTTTTTTTCGTTCCTTTCATTTCTAGCATAAATAAGTTGTTGCCATTTAAGAAGGCATTTGCCAGCGGGGGCGGTGCTGTAAATGAAGCATTTATGAAAATTACTTTATGCGCCACATTTAGCCAGAATTTCTCAATACATACAAACATGGATGTGTACATATTTCCTGAGAAAATGTGGAAATTACTTTGTAGCTCCTGAATGAAAATGTCATGCATTCAACCCAAAAATCAAACATCTATCGTTGCAGCAACAAGTTGTCGAACTATCCGGCTATGTCATCATACTCGTCGAGAATGTGGAAGGGAAAATTAAACTATATGGCTCACCGCCCGATCGCGATAATCTGGAAGTGGGCGATGAGATACTCGAGGTTAACGGCCTTTCACTGGAGAACATATCGCGCACAGAGGTCATACGCCACATACACGATGTACGTTTCAATTGATCATCCATACTACGTGTATAATGTATATTCTGAATTCCTTTCCTCAACTCCAATTTCAGTGCATAAAATCCTGTACGATCTGTTTGCGGGTGCGCAAGAAGAATGATTCTCGATTGGGTAAGTTTTGATAATTACTGAAAGTTGGTTCACTTTTTTAAGATCTTTACTAGAATATTATACTTAAATTTGCAATTCAACTATTGATGGTTCTAGTTAATCTGGCTTTGCTGTCATTTTTATCGTTTGCTGGTCATGCAAATGCGGAACTACTCTCTAAAATTAAACTAAAATTAACAATAGCTCCAAGTACTTGTCACACTGTAGATAATACTTACAGTTTGACGGCCTGATAACATGATTGCGCATCTGTTTTCAGATGTGTTGGGTTGGATAACGAAGCGGTGGCGGAGAGGCACCACTTTTATAATCCTCTATGTGCCCTGACAGAAGGGTATAATGATATCGAACATTAATGATGATATGGTGTATACATATGGGTGCCACTGTTACGACCGATCTGCATGTAAAGGGTATCAAAGCCTCGACCATCGAAGCGGGCGTTTGTTCTTTTCTAGCTGTTGCTGCTTTTGCTTTGCCCCTTTGGTTCTCCTTTTTTGGTATTTTGTTTTTGCAATTGACTTTGCGGTGTGTCCGCCCCCCGCCAGTATTCACGCCGTTACCGCCACTGCTTAGAGCAAAGCTTGCACTCATTTTCTTGCCTCTCTCGCATTCGTTCTCTCTGCCGTGCCTCACTTTGTTTTTCTCTCTCTCTCTCTCTCTCTGTGTGGAGCCCTCCAGCGCGCTGCAGCGGGCGATGCTTTTGGGGCCTCTCCGGCTGCTTGGCGTTGGAGCCGCGCGTCAGTTGTGCGGCGACTGTCGACGTTTTCGTAGCGTCAGCGTCGGAGTGTGTGTGTCGACGACGGTCGTTTCGGTTTTTCGTTGTGGGCCGCTGCCCCCCACATTCCCCTAGTTTGCTTTTTTTGCTGCTTTCATTTTGAAGTGCGCGCCGCGTCGCGCACGCGTTGGCGTCTCTGTTTCGTACGTGTTTCGCGCGGTTCTGTGCTCTGTTCGCGTCGGCGCTGTTGTCGTCGTCGTTTTGCCGTTGCGCCATTCCGCAGCATCATTCCAGCGTTTTGTTCGCCTCCGCCTCACTCCCCCAGCATTTTGCCAGATATATTTTTTTCGGTGTTACGAATTGCATTCGATTTGTTTGTGTGTGTCAGCAGCAGCACCAGCATCGCAGTGGCAGTGCAGTGGCAACAGTCAGCAGTGCAGAAGCATAGAATCGGCAAAGCAGCGCAGCAGCGGTAGTGGAAATAGAAGTTCCAGTCGCAGCGCAGTTGCACTGCTCCAGCAAAGTGAGTAACCCACCAATGGCTGTCAAACTGCTTGCACGGCAGTGGGAGTGCATGGGGAGTGATTCCCCAAAAGGCGTTCCTACGTATTGCTCACACTGTTGTGTGAGGGGTTGGGCGGGGGTCTATGGGGGGCTAACAACTACAGCTGCCAGCTGGGGCTCTGGAGCCTAGGTGGGTCTGTGGGTCGGGTTGCGGGGGCTGCTCTGAATCAACATTGTCGCAGTTGTTGTTGTTTCTGTTTTTCATTTTTTTTCTCTCTGCTTTTTCAAGTACCTGAGAAACAGTTCCAGTCATGTCCGCCCCTGGCTTTACATGGGTGTGTGTGTACATTGTATGTTTGCATTGTATTGTACCGGGCTATGACGATCTTCACCAGATGCTGGCCAGGAAGGGAGTCGAATTTTGGCACAAATTTAGCAAAATCCATGCATTGGTGGGGTTCCCCCCTTGAGAGTGAAATTCTGCCCGATACATGAAGCTTTTGTGGTACTACTCGTAATTGTTGAGGAATTGCCATGAATCACATTTTCACGTAATCATAGGTACACTTTGGGTATTTTGATCATAGAATACTATCGGAATGTACTTATGTATGTACCATATGAAGTTCCCTTGGGATATTATGAATCCGAGAGTATCTTTATCTTTCTTCTCCCATGTCTGTTGAATGTAAATATTTTTTAACCGGCTTCGATTCACGGAAAGTTTGTATCTTAATATTTTTTGTTCATTGTCTCCCCCCTATTATTTTATGGGCAAAACTTCAGTTTGCTGTTTAACCCATTAACACGGCGGCTATGGGTGTGCATATACATACAACATATGTATGTACATATGTAAGTATGTACGAATCGATGTGTCGATTTTTTTGGGCGTGAGTGTGCAAAAACTAACACCCGCTGCCTCCTTTCACTTGACTCCCCCATGGACCATTCCCGTCGGACAATCGCTTGGGAATGGTGGGAGTTGCTCTCTCTATCTCCCTATCTTTATCTCTATTTTTCTCCACGAGTACGTACATATGTACATACATACAGATGTAGGTACCTCTGCCGGCTCGCAGCCTCCGCTCGGGAACATCGAAGGCATTGCCATTGCCTCCCACCGAATTCAGCCAACTGGAAATAATTGCAAAAAATAGACAAAGAAACACAGGGACCGACGGACTCAGTTAGAGAGATAGTGATTGAGAGAGAGAGAGGGACAAATGGCAATAAAAGCTGCTTACAGTTTTGGTAGCGCTGCTTGCCACGTGTTGTTGTTGTGGTTGTTGTTGTTGTAAAAAGCGGCTAAACAAGAAAACAGAGAGACGGGCAAACAGACGGTCAGATGGACAGCCAGAGAGGCAGAGAGACGGGCCGAAAAGAAAACTAACCTCAAAACGAAACAAGTTTTGTTGAATGTGGAAATCAACTGTCAAAAAAAACACAAAACAAAAAAAAACGACAAAAAACGATAAAAAAAACTAGAAAAAGTGTGGAAAAATAAACATAAAATAACATTTATGAACCACATACACAAACATATTTACGTATGTATGTCCATATGTATGTATGTACATATGTAGGCAGCAAAGCAAAATGCAAAACAAACATTAGAACCGAAAAATTCTCTGAAGGAAGATCATTCATTCGTGGCAGCATTTCAACACCTGAAAAATACTTTTTAATACTTCCTGAACACTTCTTAAAGTGTTCTACAATGTACACAGATATGGAATAGATCTACATACAATTGCAGTTAAAATATTTGGCTAGAAAGCGCACATTCGAAGCGTTATTTAAGAAATATCTGTGAAGCCAAGAATAAGTTTTTTGAGACAGGTGAAAGATTACTGAAATTAAAGTCCCAAATGAATCGATTCCACTGATAATGTTCTAGTAAATCCATGTTTGTGCATAGAATTTACAGAATGCCATCTATCTCCATAATAATCGATCATCAGCAGCGAAACAAAAACCCAATAACTATGATGATAATGATTTCTAATGCATATCAATCATTTCCAGTGTCCATCATGTACCATTATGGATACCACAGTTTGGGCTTCACTGCTGCTCAAATTGCATTCCAAGGGGCGTACCCATGCGTCCCCTTCCCTTCGCCATCCCCTGCCCGACCGGCCGCCTGCAGCAGTGGTACGATTCCGGAGTAGCATCCAAAACCTCCTTTCTCGGGCCTGCTCTTTTATTTTTGGGTCAACCTCAATGGACCCCAAAAGAATTTCCAGTTTGCAGCGAAACTCACACTGGAAACATTCCAAAACGAAATCAATATAGACAGAGAGAGAGAGGGAGCGAGATGGATGGAGGGCGGCAGCGGATGGAGAGGGGGAAGCTATCACTGAAGTTTTGTCTATTGCCGGGGAGGGCCTGCAGGTGCAAGTGGGATAGCCAAACCGCATAGCATTACCTCTCATCATTTGTGTGTGTGTTGGGTGTTTGTGTGTGCAAAGCATTGAGCGATGAGAGAGATTCAGAGAGGGAGAAGAGAAGGCTTAGCAGCAACGACAACGGCGACTAACAAACAGCATCCGAAATCCGGTAACGCAAGTTTCTGGGCTCCACGTCGCCGCCGAGCAGTCAATTGTGTGAGTAAGTCGCAGGTTATACCAACCGAAGAGTGTGTAGAGAGCGAGCTCCATGTTGAAAGGGTGGAGAGAATGATGGCAGTGTGGTGCAGCAGAGCCTCACCTTTTGTCAATGCACCCTGAGTCTTTCTATTTCTATTTTACACGCCGTGAGCCAGTGGCAGCATCGCAACCAGCGTCGCAGTCAGCGTCAATGACGATACAATTGAGCGCCTCTGCGATGCTCTGGGTGCCGTGTGTGTGTGGTTCAGGGGGAGCATGGCCATGTGCTGCGATGTGTAAAAGTCAATGCCTCAACAGAGCGACAGAGCGACAGAGCGACAGAGGGACAGCCGGACAGAGGGAGAGACTCACAAAGAGCGGGGGAGACTGACCGCGAGGCGGAGGGAGAGAGAGGAAAAGGCTCAAAATAATATTGGCCATGGAATTGCATCGAAGTGCAAGGAAAATCAGAGGTAAAAGGAAGCGGGACACGGTTACGACTTGCTAGTGCAAAAGAAATGTGCAGCGGATGCCTGCAACGAGTCTGTGTCCATTTTCTTATTGGAAACAAATCGGTTACACATTCTTTCATGCAATTCACATTCATACTCGTAATCTAACTAGTATCGTGAATGATTCGATGCATCTCCATGGCATCACCAGCACATTATGTTCACTCTCCTTGCTGGTGCTTTAATATGTACGAGTATTCTCCTTAATTTGGCTCATTGTCTTGCATCACTTTGTTCCTCCACTCAGTCGCTATCCACGAGAGCTACATATAACATTCTTCTACCTCTTTTTGTTATATTTCTGTTTCTTCCACTGCCTTGTGTTCTGGGTTTCTTTATCAGCTGCTTTTGCAGCTGCATTTGTTGTTCTTCTGTTCCGTTGTCTTCACCATTCCTTATCTTTTTCTTTATTTTGTTGGCTTTACTGCCTTTTGTATGCACCTTTCACAGTTGCAAACGGTGTTCTTTTCCCCCCTCTCTTTCCCACTCTCACGAACATCAAGAGATTGAGCGAGCCGAAGAGAGCTTTCGGCTATGTCTCTGTCTTCTCTCTCTCTCTCACTCTGCGATGCTCCAACGATTTACCGCTAGTAATCCATCATCGTGGCTTCAAATAATTGGTTATGCGCAGATACCTTTCAATGCCAATTCGATTCATTCGATAAACGCTCATCTTTATTCATAGCCATTCATTCAGGTTCTCTTCTGTCTTTCCCTCTCCATTAACGTCTCTCCGGTACAGCGGAAAATAGAAATTTGAGCTCGACCAAATATGCACCTACATACATAAATAGCATCTTAAAATAATTTTGGCTTATTTTTTCATTATTTTATTTACCAAATATTAGTAATTTCTCTTCCATTTTAGTTTTCTTTTTTCGGTCTTAATATTTCGCTATCAGTGTGTTCCTAATTTTAATTATTCTCTATAATTCCATGCTCCATGTTGCCCTGTTCCCTGAGGAGCACAGCTTCACTTCCTCAGAGTTCCTCTCTTCCTTTTACTCTGCTTTCAGTTTGGTCCCTTCTGGTTCGGTTTTCCCCTGTTCAACACATCGATTTTCTTCCTCGTTGCTATTTTTACAGTTTTCCTCTTCGATTCTGTTAAATTCTGGAGATCTTTGGGGGCAGCACAAGAGCACTTGTTGCCACGTGAAGCGAAACGGGCCACTCAATACAAGAGAGTGAGAGAGAAGGAGAGATTCTGCGAGTGGGATGCCACCCAACGTGGAATGGCGAGCAGAAGATGGCTAAAGTGTGGGCTACTGAAGCTAATTGCACTTTGAAGATGTCGTCATAAAGCCAACCCATTTGTGGGTTGGCAGCCGTCGAACGAGTCAATAAACAAACGTGAGACAATGCGCACCTGAGCCACAGCCAGACGACAACAAAAATACTGACCCTGAGATCATATGATTGTCGCTCGGTTCTATTTCCATTTCCAATTCCAATTCCAATTGCACTTCATGGAATATATAAATATATTTGATTATAGCTTTCAGCAGAACCTCTCATGTATCTTGTATTTAACGTTTTCCACACACGAAAACATCAACAGAAAAGTTCGTAAAGTTTTTGAGCTCAGATGAGGAGGTTACTTCCAATTCGCTAATTGGAAACTTCATTCATGGCAATGGCCATGTTTCCTAGTGGGAACTCGAACTGATGGCACGGCGACTGAAATTAAACTCATTCTCATGAAAGAGGTAAACAGATAAGCAGTCCCGTCCATCAGCACGATGCGACTGTCTCTGTCAGTCCATCATCTTCAAACTCCACTCCATCTTCCGGAGATTCCCCGTCACCACCCTCAGACCCAATCCCATCTCATGCCACATACCGCTTTCTTGTACTCGTAATCGCAATTAAAGAGTTTTCTTGTTTACTCAGAAATCCCCGCGGAAAGAAGCAGACGACGAACAACAAACGAATCTCCGATAAGCGACACTCAGCGATAAAGCAACTGCGGCAACAGCGGCAGCGGCCCATGCGGCGTATGAGTAATTGGCCCAAACAATGGGTTGGATAGGTGAAAAGGGGCTGCAGGGGAAGGGGTGCAAAGGTAGCGTACACAGCCATTCCGAACCCCTCGATTGGGGCTATCAAAGTTGGCTGTGACACAAATTGATATGCATTTTGCCTTTCATTGTGAGAGTGGAATGCCGCCCTGCCCCCAAACCCATCTATACTTCACGAATTCATCGGTAATAAATATACTCGTGATGGTATAGATTTTGTGCGGAAGGAATTTCCCCTTTTCTTTAGATTCTAAATATAAAGTGGAATAGTATGTGAGCGGGACTCGAACAAGCGACACTCATGTGCAGCTCCTCGGTTTCCTTTTCTGACACTTTCGTAACGATTAGGAACCATGAATGCATGCAACATTTGCATGAATCTTATGGTTCACCTTTCTCCAGTACGATAAGACACTGTTGCTGCTGTTGCGGTGGTTCAACAGCTTAAGATTACATGGAGTAAACAAGAGAGAGACTTTCCCATCGATCCGAGCCATCGATGGTGTGGAAGCACCTGTAGTCAAGGCCTCAAGGCATCGAATCTGTTCAATTTCGACTCCATTTCAAGTCCAAGACGATGCTCTCTCACTCATGCGAGGGGCAGTGTCAATGGTAATGCGATATTCGATACTCGATTCTGCGGTTACATAACCCCCGTGCACATGATTCGTAGATAAAAGAGATAGAGAGAGAGAGAGAGAGAGAGCGAAGAAAAACTATAAAAACATTCAAGTATCTTGGTATCTGTGCATCAGAGAGTCTATCTGCGGAGAGAGAGAGCGCGAGAGATACGAAGATAAAGAGCACAAAAAAACAAAATCGAACATCTTCTGCCCGAAACCAAAAACGAGTTTCGCTCACTTCAAAAGCGGCAAGGAAATACGACTCAACGAAAGACGAAAATCAGAGACAAAGAATGCCAAAAAGTATAATAATCACTTATAAATAATTATACATAACATAATCGCAGTTCCAGAACACATACAATCCAAATATCTGTAGCTGTAGCTGTAGCTTTAGCTGTATCTGCTGAAAGATGAGCAATTCCAGTGGGAAACTGTTCGGTTCGATTCCGTTTTGCGGAATGTTTCCCCCAAAGAGAGATTCCCTCGTTTCCATTTCACCATGCAAGTATTTGATGCCTCCCCAATGATGATTCAGGGTTGAGAATTTGAGTGGTTTAACGGTTGTACAGTTCAACGGTGAGCTGTGGTTGCCTCGCATACAGATACTCAGACAGACTGAGACAGAGACAGAGAGCTAGAGATGCAAACTCGCTTGTTAGCCGCTGCCCAAACATCGAACAGGAATTCCATGGCGATTCTAATTGATGAAATACCAATGCGCGGATGCCGCATTACGTTTTGGATGTTGCACTGTGGTTTTGCTTATTGCAGAAGATGCACACGGATGAATTCCAAATCACATAGAAACTCTTAGCTGGATGGGTGAATGGATATGGTCTTTAAGGTTTATTGTTGCATTTGTAGTTTGATTCTTGCAGCTGAGATGTGTTACTTTTACTCCCCAAACGGCCGAGAGGCAGAGGGGCAGAGAGGCAGAGTTTTCCCACTTGGTAGACATTTGTATATGGTGACACTCATGCCCTGTGCATCATCCATCAGTCGGTCACGAAACATCATTATTTAATTGCAATTACATTTTTTAATTAAGATTCTCACACAATTCATTTTCATTGTTCAATGCTATTTGCCATTGTTAGTGGCAACTTTGTTGTTGTTGTGCAGCCAGGTTTTGTTTTGTCGTCGTGTTTTGCCATCGGATTAAAGGTTGGCTAAAGGCCAGGGGCAGGCATCACACACACACAAAATAGAAAAAGATAGAGAAGCAAAGGTGAAAATATGTGTGAATCGATAGAAGCGTAAAGATGATGCGGAAGTATATTCATAAGGAATTCCACAAAGCTACAAATAAATAATAATAATTTACATCATGCAAAGGAGATTTCAACTACCATTAAATGCCATTTGCTTCGACAGCGGAGAGAGGAGAGCAGAGCCCTGTGCACCTGGGGCAAGACTCCTTCTGCATATACCCGAAAATACCCTCGAATATATGGGAAATTACTACATGGGAAAAGTAGTCCAGGAATTTGTATTGGAATTTTATTTTGCACCTGAAAACTATTCCCAGAATAACACAAAAATATGCAGATTGTATTTCCATTCAATTATTGAAATAACTTACAAGGTTTTTAACACATTCCCATTGGTTTCCCTTTCAGAATTTAGAGTTTTAGACGCAGTTTGTGTAGAATATTCCATAATTAGAAGAGTTCTTCTGTATGATGCTACTATTCGTTCTATTCTGTATTCCGTTTCCTCCCCTGCCCCACTCGACTCGTTGGTTGTCAGATTCCAGGCGAAAGTTTTCTAGATTCGTGAAAGTTGGCTGATTTTGTTCCAAGTTTATACGCTGGCAAGTTGAAATCTCTCGACACGCAGGTAGAGCCTGCGCCCCGCCGCCACTCCACACAACCACTGCAGTTTGACAAGAACTGTGCTGGGTGTTGGGCGGTGGGGCATAAGTTTGTTTGCCAATGTGTTCAAGTGTTCATCGTGTTGTTCGCTGTTCGATTTTGTTGGTGGTCGATTGCCGATTTCTGTGGCAATGGCAGTGGCAGTGGCAGGCACCTCTCACGTGGCTGCTGCCGTTGCTGTTGCTGTTGCTGCTGCAATTGGAGTGCACTTTGGTCCATTGTTTATCGATTCGACTGCTGCTGGTACTGCCACTGCTGGCTGCTGGCTGCTGGCTGCTGCCTGCTGGCTCTGCGGAGGAGGCAATTAAGTATGGTGGCCGTGCCACAAGACTCCAACTTTTTCATTCGCAATATATAGATTTTATACGTGGCAATTCCATTAGGCGAAGTAGATGTTTCCATCTTGAAATCTCAGTGTGTGTGTGAGGCACATACACGAATTTGCGTCCATCCAGCTGGAATATATGTACATATGTCTCTATCACAGTGTAGCTTAGCACAGCTACAGCTTTTCTTTTTGGATTAGTTTCTACTAAACATTGGACCTTCGATGTGCCGTGAGCTTTGTTTTATGTTCTTTACCTTTTGCTGTGGCATCCACTTACACTTAAGTGTCCTGTCCGTCGCTTAACCCACGAGCATCGCCTTTCGTTTGCGTTCGGCGGCACAACGTCCATTAATAGCTAATTACGGAAGGTAATAATATATTGCACAGGCACCAAAGAGGAAAAACAAACAGCAAACAACAAGCAGAGGACTGTGGACAGAGAGCGGACAGGGAACAGGGAACAGTGGACACCGGACACCGGACAGCGGACAACGGACAACGTTTCAGGTGTCCGCGGACAACGGACACGGGAGACACCTCTGGGCCATGGCTGGGAATGTTAAATGGGAAATGGGAATGAGAATGGTTGTCCCATGGCATAGTCTGACGTGTGGCTCCATTAATAGCCAGTGCGCTGATTTGCATGTGTGAGAGGCAGAAAGTGTCCAATGGCCTACGCGTTGCACCAAGCAGCAAGCACCAAGCACCAAGCACCATGCACCATCGGGTTGTGGTTGGCTTGGGGGTAACGGAGTGTGCCACATCCCAATAGGAGCCTGGACTTGAAGAGGCGCCGCCATATACACTGACGCGTGGGATGTCAAGACTTATGAGAGGCATGCCCCGGCTTTTGTGCCACACACACACACACACACACATACTCATGGACTCAAATGAGATTAAAAGTCAGAACTAAAGAGAAAAGCGAACCACGTGAAGGGGCAGTGGCAGGGGCAGGGGCACTGGCAGTAACAGTGGCAGTGGCAGGGGCAAGGCTCAACTTCCCCTCCCTCTGAGTCTTGTGTGGCTGAAGGATTGGGGCAGGTTCAACGACATGTTGCGACATCGAGGCTGACAACGCGGCGCCTAATTGGATTTCGGCCCGAGCGCTCCACTTTTGCCCGAGTGTGGCACGAATGAGCGGCACGGCACGGCACGACACATTGGATGGGCGGATGGGTGGATGGGTGAATGGGTGGATGTGGGTGACATATCGAGGGCGTCTTTGGGGGCAATCTACCACCCCAATCTACCACCGCCCCCGCACCACGCCACCTTTCTAAGCCCCACTTTTCGACGCAATCAACAGCCGCGAAACGCAAGGGCAGCGAAATGAAATTAAAGCCGAGGTCATGATGTGATGGTGGCAGAGACAGAGTGGCGGGAACGGGCGCTGGAGTACAGCCAAAAAAAAGCAATAAAAGTGACGAGAAAAGTTGAGGCGTTGTGTGGGCGACGACGAATAAGGATATAACCGTCTAACGACGACAGTCAGCAGACGAAAAACGAGAAGGAACATTCGCTAGAGATGAGAGACGGCGATGGCAGGCGGTTCTAAAGGCGAATCCTGAGGCTCTGCTGTCATCAAACAGGCAAATTTCCACCCAGACAACAAAAAGAAAGAAAAATAAATAAAAAGTAAGAGAGAGGGAGAGAGAGAGCTTCGCTGCCTTTGAATGAAAAGGACAACGAAATGGAGAACTGAACCTGGATATGTAAATGGTGGAGGTGGAGCAGCTGGAGCGGCTGGCAGCACTCCCCAGTGCCCACTCATGCAGCACCCAAAACATTCTGTGGCCTGCGGCGAATGCACTCATGAATATGCATTGAACGATTCGCTTAGAGTGCCATGAATGCAGTGAATGAATGCCCAGGAAATACCCAAACCCAAGGCCCATGGCCACACACATCCCTAACTCATCCCAGACTCATCGCCGGACTGCAAATTTTTGCTTGTAGGCAGTGCCCTTGGGTAAGGATTCCATGCCCCCATTCCATTGCACTGTGGCAAAAGGAAGCACGGAGGCTGAGAAGTATTGAGAAGGCCCGAGAAGTGACTCCACACTAGATAACGGAGTGAGAGACAGAGACAGAGAGAGAGAGAGAGAGAGAGAGAGAGATTAATCGGATTTAAATCAACTTTGGTGTCGGAATAATATGAGTTCCACAGTTACCCCTCGTGCTTTAGGGTATTCATGATAGTCATCACTTGTGGAATGGAAGTACTTATGGGGATGCTATTTTCTCATCCTAAAAGTAGGCAAGGCGCTTGCTCAATCAGTAATAATGGTCGAAGGCATGTGTTCAAATTGTTAAAGATAATGCTCCAATCGCATTTCTTGTCATTAAAACATTTCATAGTTATTCTTTTCGTTGTTCTTCCTTAAGTTTAATGTCTATCCATAGATCTCGGGCCTGTTGTTTATTAAGCGTTGAGTTGTTATTTGGAACAGATTAAGAAACATATTTTTAGCAAATATATTTATCCTACTTATTTCTCATTTCTCTTCTTTTGCAGCCTGGGATATTGGGAATTCGGTGCAGGACGCGTTTGTCATTGCCGTCGAGGAGCACGCCCGGGAGCGACTGCAGCGATTGGCGGCTCTGAATCGAGTGACACCCGTGGACATAACCCAACTGTCAAAGAAGGTGAGTGTCCTGTGAGTGAGTGCACTGTTCTTTGGTATTTGGTTACCCAAGAATGATTCTAATACGATTGCGTTATTCAATTCCCAGTCGAATTCCCAGAATCTTTTCCAGAATATTTGTGGTTTAGCTTGAAACGATTCTCCATCGAATTTTAATCAATTTGCATTGCCAATGGAATATATTGACGATGTTTCTTAGCTTTTAACTGAATTGCTTACAATAGAAATTAAAGTGCATTTCTGTGGGTTTTCCCAGCGAACTATTTGTAATTATTCAAAAAATGTTACATTTTTCTGCGTTTCTATCAAGGGAGCTCCTTTTCCTATGCCCTGCAGTTTTCTTTTACTGCTAAGCCACACTGGGTGAGAGGGGGAAATGTTTTCCGATGGCTTCCCATTGGACTTTTCCAGTCATTTTCCTCTCGAATCAACTTTGCTGTTTCTGTCTGATGGCTTGATGGTCAAGCAGGAAGGTGAACGAGTGCGTGCCACTGCATGGTGCATGTTGCACGTTGCATGCCGCGCTAAAGCAAAACTTGAATGTGAGTTTTCCAATCGCCGTTCGATGTTCGACGTGGAAACAGACAAAAAAACATAGATCGAATAGGAAAACGCTTTATCAAAACAGCTTTCCATCACAATGACAGTGCCCCAGTGACTGCCTCTCTATATCTGTTGTTGGCGGTGCCACAAAGTGCCTGCCCCTCCCCAAATGGACAGACAGACAGACGGTCAGGCGAGGTACGGGGACAAAATCGAGGAAGTACTCACTCACTCACCCAAAATTCAATTAAAAATTCAACAAACGCAACACGAAACAGAGAGACACTGAAGATTGCAACTAAAAGTGGAAATAAGACCAAAAAAAAAAACAGCAACAAAAGACAAAACATAAAATACAACAAAATATAAACATACACACACACATACACAGACATTAAAACTAGAAACAAAAGTTTGAATAAACGTGAAAGCGAAAACAACAACAAAAACTGCCATCAAAAGTTACGCAAAAAAAAGCAAAAATAAAAGGTGAGTCTCGGGCTCTGTTCGAACAGAAGTTTTGTTTACCCTTTACCCTGGCAAAATATGTATCCAAGCGCAAAGTCCCTAAAGGGGCTGCCAGAATGTAGAAAGGTAATTTATTGATTCGAATATGCTAAATCGATTCAAGTCGATCCACCGCTGTTGCCTCTGCATCTATTCAAACCCGATTGTTTTGCAGGGTATACACGTATTCGTGCTTGAATTCTTGTACAAAACGATGCAGACAAAAAAAAAGACAGCAACATCAAATATGTGGATAATTGAAAGTGAAACACAGTGCAATTCCATTTGCATGTGGGTGTTTGAGTGTGAGCGAGTGAGCGAGTGCTTGGAGTATGAGTGAGTAAGTGTGTTCAGAGGGGACTAATCAAGCGATTCACGCTACGAAGAGGAAGGAGGAAGAGGAGAAGCAGGAGGTAGCTTACATAAATGCTATTCCCCAGATTAGCCTTTGTCTGTGTCTCTCCTTCTTTTTCTCTATCCATCTCTCTCTCTCCACTCTCCACTCTCCACTCGTGTATGGGTCACTCAGTGAATGAATGAATGAATGGGTGTGTAAATCGAGTTAATTAATTATTCATTACCCCCCGTAATCCATATTCGTATTCGGTATTCGGTATTCGGTATTCAGTATCCAAGTATTCGAAAGTGTCTCTTTTAGAGCCGGGTGGTTGGTGCCTGCAAAATGATTTGGATGGATGGACATGGACTGCCTTTTGGAATTTTTGTCACGAACCGAATGATTTGAACGAACTACTTGTACGCTCGTGTGGGCTTCAATTGTGGTACGAGTATTACGGGAATTCGGACATCCACTTGTCAGCTGATTGCGTTGTACAAATTTCGCATAGGTGAACAGATACACTCCTCCAATGATCACAGGGTATTTCCTTGCCGTTTGCCGTTCAAAGGAATCAATCAAGCTATAAATTAATGTCTCGAGTCCCTCTGGTCAGCACAAATGATTGATCCGTGTGTATTTACTGTGCACCCAATCAATGGGGACGGCTTGCGGCCGTGTGGTCTGCCACATAGTTTGAGAGCCACATAAGCCCCAAAACCAAAGCTAAATGCTTCTGCCATGCCACTGGCCTTTGCCTGGGATTCAGCATGCATTCGGAGAATGGGGGGGAAATGATTTTTATGCAGAGACACTTTGTATGGTTCGTTCAGACGAGTCTTTACCGTACCACGGGTACGAGTATGTCTCTGTGCGGTGTGCATATACGTACGCAAAAAATATCCGATAAGTCGAAAAGTGCTACCCCAAACGGAGGGAGGACATACCCCTTAGAGAGGGATACCCCATTCACTCATTTCACTTCCATTTTTCCGATGAACCATCGACTGGCAGACCGACCGACTGTGTGTGTAGTGGCTCCTGTCAATAATCCGATAAAATGCGAATAAGAAAACATTTTAAAGGCAGTCCAGCCTTGCCATGGCTATTGGATACTCTTTTTGGGATTTACTTCAACGATTTTTTACTCAAATTGAATTCGATTCACAAAGAGTGGCACTCGCAACTAATGTAGCCGTTTGCTTATGGGAAATTTGTACAGCAAAATCATCAATCGCACTCTCAGCATTTAGGGCATAAAAAACTCTTCTCATATCATGTGGAGGGGGAGGAGATTCGTCTGGTTTGGGCACCATGGAGTACGGAGCTGGACGAAGCTCGATTGAGCGCTCAAGTGGGTAAATGGTCACGAAGCGTCAAGGATTCTGGGAAGGAGGTGGAGATGGAGATGGAGATGGAATGCCCTCCCCATCCGCATCCACCTTTGACCTCACCATAACTCTCTCTCTCTCTCTCTCTCTCTCTCTCTCTCTGTCTCTCTTGGAGTCCTCTCCACGTAATTGCATAAAAATAAAGGAAAAAGCCGAAAATTGTTCTTCAGTTGACACTGATCTGGCTTTAGGCCCTCCCCCACGCATTGCCCATCCATGCCAGCCTTCTAGGGATGGTGGTGCGGACGGTTCACCATGGCAAACAAGGTTAAGGCCAAATTGGATTGATAACACCTTCGATTATGGCTAAGAAGAGTTAATTGGCCCCGTGCGAGGCCTGACATAAACTGAAACTGGAACAGGAAAGGGCGTGCACACGCACTCGCACTCGCACAATATTTTGACAAAAAGGCGGAGCACTCCATACAAAAAAGCCCAACAAAAAGGTGCGGCATCAGCGAGACATACGCAGCCAAGAGCCAGACAGCGAGACAGCCTTTTGTTTGAACAAAACAAAAACAAGCAAAACGCCCACGCAAATGCCACGCAGCACATCCACCAGACAAAGACGCACGCCCACGGATTCAAATATATTAAATGATTATACATGCGGAGAGTATTTCGTACACACAACATTAATGCTTGCAGTACGAGTTTTCCAGTGTCGTTTTTTTCGTTGTTAATCTCTGACGTTCCTGCGAATAGTTCGATAAAAATCAGCAAAAAACCGCCTCGAATTTATTTTTGAACAATTTGCAGACAAGTATTGCTCTACAGATTTGATTCTATGGTATAGTGGGATGGATAATATTTTTGAATCAGTTCTTGGCTGGCACTTTTCAATGATTATTTTAATATTAATATTAGCTAGGCATTAATCATCTATCTTTGTCTCTATGTCCATGCCCACTCTGTGTGCTGTGTTGGCAAATTTACTCAATCATGCAACAGCTGCAGCAAAGCGGCAAGAGCGGGACATCGACAAGTCAGAAGCCGCAGGACCTCAGCTTCCTGAACGACTCAACGCCGATCTATGTGACGTCCTTCACCAGCAATCAGATCACCTGCTGCAGCTCCACCATGACAACGGCCACGGCGGGCGGGCCCATTTCCGCTCCAATGCTGGCACCCACCACAGCGACCTGCACGATGCCCACGCCCGCCGTCGAGCAGCAGTCGGCCTGCCAGGGAGCCTCCGCGCTGGTGAGTGCCGCTGTGGCAGCGGCCACGGCCGCCGATCGCAACGCCAACAGCACCACCGCAGCGGCCCTCAAGCAGCAGCGGCAGAAGCAGAGCAGCAGCATAGCGGCAGGCAGCTCGACGAGCAGCGCCACCGGACAGATCTACCAGGCGAGCCAGGCTCAGCAGCAGCAGCTGCAGCAACTCCAGCAGCAGCTGGCGGCAGCCGCCGCTGCGGGAAAGCCCCTCCAGGCCAAGTCCCTGCTCGCGAGCAGCCTCCAGCATCTGGCCGAGGAGGTGGACAACGAGGATCTCGACGACGACGACGACGATGTGGACGGGGCCAACTATTGCGGCATCACCTACATCTCGTACAACAACAAGCACGCTCAGCTACCCACGACGACGCTGCCGGCCAGCACAACGCTCCCGGCGGCGGCGGCCACGCTGGCCACTACGGCGGCGATCCACCAGCAGCGGCACCAGCAGCAGACTCACGTCCAGACCCATAACCGCCCGGCACCGCTGCAGCTGTGCGCCAGCGATGTACAGTTCGTGGATGCTGGCACCTCAACATCGCCTCTGCTGGCCGCCACCAGCATTGTGACGGCAGCGGATATCGCCCTGCCGCCCAGTGGCGGCCATTTGCATGGCACAACGACACCAAAGACCGAGTACTCGACGGCCATCTCAAGCGGCCAGCTGCAGCAGGCCTTTGCCGAGTTGCAGTTGCAGCACTCCACGAATAACAACACCTCACATCAGCAGCAACAGCAGCAGCAGCAGCAGCAGCAGCAGCATCACCATCAGCAACAGCAACAGCAAAAGCAGCATCTGCAGCAGCAGCAGCAATCACAGCCACAGCCACAGACTCATTTCCATCAGCAACATTTACTTTTAAGCAACAACAATAATAGCAATAATTCCATCGCATCCAGCGGCATGGCACCAGCAGCGGCCACAGCGGCAACAGCGGCAGCCACAACGGCATCCGTGATGAAGAATTGTGATCTACTGATAGCCAACAATCTGTATCCACCGAGACGAGAGGTGAATTTCCCATCACGCATTTTCTCTCTGATTTGTCTTTGATTTGAATATGTACACACATATATTCAATTAATTATTAACCAACGATACATATTTGATTTACGTTTGATTTGATTTGATTTGACTTTAATTTGGGTGGGTGCAGCACACCCATGCCACTTGGAACTTTTCATCAACCCCAATTTGCCATACGTCTGGGGAGCTGTCAAACTTCGTAATTGGTTTGCTTTCGCATTCGGTTTTTGGTTTGTCCTTTGGTCTGTGGGGGGGTTGACAGTTGCCACCAAAAATATGCATAACTTGCACCCCATTGACAGTTGATATCCGTTCAATATTCGTTTATTGCTTTGCTGTTGCTCTTTCCTTTCTCTCATTGACTTTAACCATTTTGTTTTTACTTATTTTGTGGCCACGCAACGTCGCAACTCATTACCTTGTATGGCAACAACGAGTATGAGTTCTGTTTTAATTCGTTTTCGTTTATTTCGTTGATGATTTTCTCTGTTACACTTACTAAATAATTGCATTCTCTTTTTGATTAAACAGTTACTAGATGACGTCATTGTTCATCAATCCAGCGATGTCCATGCTTTCAACACCAATGTAGCTACAGCCAACAGCAGCAACAATCGATCCCTGCAGCAGCATCAGCAGCAATTGCTGAGTGCCGCCTACGAGCTGCAGCAGCAGCAACTCTTGCAACAGCAGCAGCAACTGCAACACAGTCCCACAAGTAGCATATCAATAGGAAGAACAGAACTTTTATTGGGCGATCAAAGTCTGCGGCAGGACTCCAGCAGGTGAGTCCACTTACAGTTGTACAGCCAGTGTGTCCCTCCCGCGCTGAAAAGTGTAGCCTAAGCGTCAGGCGCAGCACCGTCACAATTCCTCCCCAACTGTTTTGGCAGAGATGCCAGAATCAATGATCCGAAGGATTCCATATGGATAGCGCCATCAAAGACCAAGTAGATGGAGTCTGATGTGGCTGAGAATAATGAGTATGAGTAGATGCAACAGGAGGCATGGTGCAACGCACCTGCAAACGTTTTGATAAATTGTTTTAAGGAGCGCTCATTGGCAGAGTTTCCACAGCATTTGGCCGGGGATTTCTGTTCGGTTTGCAGATTCATTTGTTAAAATATGAATGAATGGGAATGGTGTATTTGGTATGTGGGATGTGGGATGTGGGAATGAGAGTGTTTGTATTTTATGAAGCATTTATTACCTCTCTGGTTGCCTGCTGGTCCCCTGCTGCTCCTTCATCCTGTTCAATGGTCCTCGCATCCTCTAGGTCTGGCTCTGGCTTTGGCTTTCCTTTTGGTCTTCTCCTATTCTGTGTTCTGCGTCTGGCTTTGGCTGGCCTGGAATTTTGCACGCTTCGGAAATACCCGTCAACATGGCAGCATGCGGGCTGCTGCTGCTGCTGCTGCATGGTTGAGTGGGTGAGTGGGTGAATGGGTGGATGTGCCATGGGTGTATGGGTGTATACTCACGGTTGTTTTTATGACTGCTTATTTATTCACTCGCTTCGCTCTGTTCGCTGGGTTTTCCAGCTGGCTGGCTCAGGAGAGTGCCCGGAGCCGAGAGCCGAGAGCCCTCAGCCCAGAGAGGTTATGGCTCCTGGGTCTGGGTCTGGGTCTGGGCCTCGGTCTGTTCCTTCTTCATCCACATCCTTGTGCCACGTTTCGCGTTCCGCCTCTGGCCATCGCTGACATTTTTCACACATATTTCCCAGACTCGCTCACTCTCGCTCTCTCTTTTGCTCGCTCCTTTGTGGCAGGTGCGTCCTCCGTGGCATCGCAAATGAACCTGTTGTGATTTCGCCCGCGGCCAGCAACCATCAGTAGCATAAACTATACACAGCGCCCACCAGCCACCACCAACGTCGGGGAGAGTAGACCACCCTGCCCCTTGGTGGGGCACGTGCGCCATCATTTTATGCTCATTATTAATTAACGAGTTATTTTCCTCGCCCGGTGATGAATATTTATATATTTTTAATCGATTTGCGCCCTTGTTAAGATTGTACGGCGATTGTATTTTGCGCAGTTTGTGAGCCATTATAATGATCTGTGATGAAACGTGATGACTCCTTAGATTATCATTTATCAGCAGAATACAAAAGATAAGCAGAGAGAGCGAAATGGAGAGGGAGAGTAGGTGTATGCCCAGGAGAACCTGTGCCGTGGCACAGCTTCATTTTAGCCCAAATTTTATGCCATTTTTCACATGTGCGTGCAATGCCTTTGTACATACATACACATGTGTACAAATGTCTATACGTATGTGTAGTACGTGGTGTAGGCTTCTAATGATGGTGCAAACTTTTGGCGGTCAGTGTTTGCTGCCAGCCTGAGGCCGCAAGTCCATCAATGACTGGTTGCCGTCTCGTGTCCGTCTCTCGCTTTTCGAGTAACATTTTGAAAATCTGCTGACTTATCACTTGCACACAGAATGGCAGCCAGCGAACGATGTTACACTGCCAATGATGATGATGATGGTGACACTTGATACGGCTTTGGTCGTTGGCGAGGGCGAAAGAGGAACGATGCCGAATCGCACTCGAATTCGAATGTGTCTGAATTATCCACCAGCTGTTGGCTGCGCTGCTCATTTGGGCATGTGGCTGCGACAGGCCGGGCGAGCGGGTTGCACACTGATACACCTGACGAAGCTGTTGTTGTCTGTTGCACAGGCCTCTCACATCCCCCCTCCATTTTGTTGCAACATTCGTGCCACTGCTCTTGGGGCACTCATCACGACCAATTGACATTGACAGCGGATGACATTTCTCTCTGTGTGTGTCTCTTTTTCGGGATTTGTGCAGTCCCAGAAGTTGCAGGAAATGAGAAAGTCAATTGAATTTCATGGCCCATCCTCCTTTCCACACACTTCTGCAGGCTGCATGCAGCAGTGGCAATAGCGAAGTAGCAGCAATGTTTTTCATACTGGACATTTCCAACGTTTTTGCTGGTAGAACTGTGGCCTGCCTGTCAACTGGTTGAGGTGATGTCACGCGATGCGCATTCTACCGATGTTTCTTTCGTGTGGACAACAATTGAAGACGCGACGGAACTGGCCATCACACAGGCAATGTGTGTGCTTCAAATGGATGCCTTGCCATTGGGAGAAAAAAGAGGAAAGCCCCACAGACACACACCATTGGCCAGAACCATTCGACCGGTCGAAGGATATGCGTTTTTAAACCATTACCGTAGTCAAGTGTATCATTCCAGTGGAACTGCCATGCCACAGAACTGCTAATGGATCGCTGCTAGTGGCACTGCATGTGCGAGTCAGTAGGGTTTAGTAGCGACAATATATCATCACTCCAAGACAGCAACTTAAAATGTTGTATCTACATTTATAGTCTTTGATTTCGTGTGTTCAAAGAAACTCTGTTCGAAATGATCTTTGGTCTACACCAAAGCAACTGCGGCTCTCAAACTGTGGACACGGGAGGGATCAATCTTTGGACGTTCTTGCTATCTTTGGCATGCCAGCCATGTAGCCCTGTTTCTGTAGCCATACTGCGGGATGGCCTGGATAGGGGCTCTGACTCTGCGGTCTCTCCCGCCATCGTTCACGTCCACCGACCGATTGATACGCGAGGCACGCGCAGGCGCAGCATTTCTGTGGGTTTTTTGTTGAGGTTTTGTTGAGGTAGGACTTGGCTTGGTCTTGTGCAGATTAGAGAAGAGGAGCGGAGGGAGGTATGTGGCAGAAGCAGAACCCAAGAATCAGAAGTAGAAGCAGAAGCAGAAACAGAGACACACACAGACAATGGATGGATGGGATGGTCAGGTCAGTGTTTCCCATGGGGCCATGAGAAATCAATTAAAGGTGCCGGTGCTCCGGCATCCTAAGCCCTTTTTCTTCTCCTCCTTCTCCTTCTCCTTCTCCTTCTCTCTCTCTCTCTCTCTCTCTTTATCCCTATCCCTCTGTGTGTTTATAATCTGGCTAGCCAAAAATGTAATTAAATCATTAATTTCCTGTCGTTAGGAGCCACAGAGTTGCCAGAGCACTATTAACGAAAAGTAGACACATGGCCAAAAGGGCCGCCCTCCCTCTCTCTCGCTCACCCCACATCTGCAGATGTGTGCTCTCCAGAGTCGAACTAGAAAAGAGAGTGGGTGAGAGAGGGAGCGAACGGTGGAACAGTGTGAGTGTGGGAGAGAGAGAACCAGCAGACGACCAGACGCAGAGGACCTGCAAGTTATTTTAAAAGCACAAAACTAAAGAACAAACAAAAACAGGCAACTCGATGACATTACGACTGCAAAAGTACCGACTACATGGATACTATATTTAATTCACTGAGAGTGAAAAACTAGGAACAACAAATTGTGCTTGAGAGACAGTTGTTTAAGATTTCGATTTTCTCTCTATAATATAAATAAATCTTCGAAACTCTTCGGACTTAGTACTGATCTTAAACACCCCTGGGACTCGTTCTGCCTGTTGCTACGGAGCATCATACCCTTGTTCTGTTTCTTATGTTGCGAGGGTATCAAAAGTTGGAAAAATATAAAATGAAATATGTACATACATATGTATATGGGTTTGTGGGTGTAACTTGAGATAAATCCGTTGTAATAATTCTGAGCAACTCTGGGATTGTGGAACGGAGCGAGGCGACGGCCCCTCCTCATAGAGACTGGTTAAGGGGGGCAGTCGGGGCGGAGGACAAAGGCAAACGGCGACCCAAATGATGCCCCACAGGCTCTGGTAGACAAGCACACGCAAACAGAGCTCAAGTGAGCCTCAACTCAAGTGTATGTGTGTGTGTGTGCGTGTGTGTTCCTCAATGTTGATTGTATCTTGTATCTTTGGAGGATGCTTCTCTGTGCTGTGGTTCTCGTCTCCTCCTTCTATTCGTTCACTCTCTCTCTCGCTCTTTCTCGCTCTCTCTCTCGTACACAATGAGAGCTTACCTTTGTGTGGGCTTTGTTTTGCTTTTGCTTCTCTCGCACTCTCCGTTCTCTATTTTACGTGTCGTCCGCCTGTGCTCTTTGCTCTGCCTTTTGCCACAGGTATGGGGACGGATCCTCTGTGCAAAGAGGAATATGAAGTAAAAAGGTAAAGAACAAAAGACAAGGGCATAGGGCTGCAAAAGAACAACGGTATTCAAAAAGGGAGGCCCATGAAAAGTCAGGGGAGCAACAGGAGCCGAGAGGAGCTGTGCGATACCTGTTGCTTTGGCTATGATCTCCGATGACCTGTAATCCAGACCTAGGAATGCTACCTGCTTCACTCCCACGAAACGATCTTTCTTCCTTACTCTCTGTCTCTCTCTCTTCTTGTTTGTTCCTCTGCGACCAAGATGTGTGTTTGAATGAGGTGCGGCACTGCTTCTTTTCGCTCTTACGATCGTATCGAGAGAGCATTCTCATATCTGTAAATGCACCCTGGAATGGAGCTGCGCGCGTCATGCAAGCAGCCCCCGAGTAGCTGTCTCAGTCGCAGCTTCTCTTCTGCTGCCTTTGGACTGGAGCTGAAGCTGGGACAGGGCCAGGGACAGGGGCATACATATACATAAGTATGTACATACATCGCTGGCTGTTGAGTCACGTCACGAATACACACCTCGAGGCAGGGGCCCTGCCTTTTGTTCTTTTTGTATGCCACAATAGGCTTAACCAGATACCTGTACATCTGTGTTTGTATGTTTGTATTTTTGTATGGGGATGCGTGTACTCGCTTGTATGCATGTGTGTACATATGCATGTATGTATATTTGTACCTGCTGCTCGCTCAATTGCCTTTACCTTAGTTCTGCTACTTCTGCTGCAGCTTCATG